AGGCCTTGGTTTGGAAATGCGGCCGAATGAATCTACAGATTCCATACTTGCTGCCCTAATTCCTATGAGTTGACACAGGCTTGATAACAGACACCAATGTCTATAAACATATAGACATATGTTTATCACAATTTCACTGTTATGCATTTTTGAAAAATAAAGTTCAACTCACTTTTCTAACCAAGTAAAAAAAGCTCACAAGGTAGGTAAATTATAGTTCAACTTTGGTATATTTATAAATAATCAAAGCCTTCATGACAACTAAAAATATTGCAATGAAAAAAATGTATCATCATTTTATCCTATGTTAAGGGTTAAAGTGTGCCCCCACTCCCCAATTCATATATGGAAATCCTAACCCCCATGACCTCATTAGAGAAGGCCCGAATCCAACATGCCTGGTATTCTTAGAGAAGATGCAATTAGGACACAGACATGCATGGGAAAGACCATTGAAGTCAAAGAGAAGAAACCTCAGTCTCAGACTTCCAGCCTCCAGGACTGTGCAGAAATACATTTCTGCTGTTTTAGCCTCCCAGTCTGTGGTACATTATTATGGCAGCTCCAGCAAACTCATACCGCCTTCTTGTCAAATACACCTTTGTCACTGAAGCTGACAGTACCGAATGCCAGTTTCAGTTTTATGGGAAATTGCCTAAAGGTCTTTGGCAAAGCTCCTTTCCACATAAATACGGTGCCATTTCTGAATTATGGAATAGTTGCAAAACATCAGAAATTATCATATACTCACTTCTTAAAGACTTACTTAAATGCTAACTACAACATGGCTTTTTATTGGGAAATTTTCTATTTTCTTTCCATATGTTAAAAAAAAAGTCCTTTAGAGTTCAACACAGCTGTCTGTATTTTTTTAAAAAGCATTGCCAAGATGAAATATTCTGAATACAATGCTTTGAATTTTGAAAATATTTTGATGGGCACCAAATTCTAATATGAAGCAAAGGGAAACACTCTTTTGGAATTCAAACATGAAGTTATTATCTTTTCCCAATATCTACATGACTAACTCATAAACTTTGGCTCTTGATTTAAATTGTTTCATATGCATGGCAAAACCATCATGCTTTACATTGAAGAGAAACATTTCAGGTAGCCTGCAAAAATTGAGGTAAGATAAAAATATAACTGAAAATGGGGAATAAGAAGATTTCAGATTAATTTTCATACCATGATGTGTTTTCTATGTTGATCAATGAAAAAGGCAAACATCATAAACGAACAGATGCACTGAGTAAATAGTTCTAGAATTCTAAAGCGAGAAGAAAAAAGAAAACCTCATAGGAATAAAGTGTTTCTTTGTTTGTTTTGCCTTTAAGAAGAGTAATGCAGTTGAGCATTTCATGGGGCCAATTACCTAGCAATTGTCCCACAGGGACTACGTTGTTTAAAAATTTCACATTTTCTGTACTCGTGGCTAGTGTCCCTCAGAGGAGTGCAGATTAAGTTCTTAGACTAACCGTCCCTTCCTCTATAAATAAAGCCAAATTCCAATTTGGATATCATATTCAAACATCCAAGAATTTTGTTCATGAAACAGCTTCCAAAACTGCAAAGTAAAGTTTTCTCAAGTGCTACCTCAAAAAAATATATACAAGGGGAGCTATGGGGGGGGGGGGGGGGAAGAGGAACAACTGTAATAATCTGAACAATAAAGACTTAATTAAAAAAATATACAAGTAACATGGGGCATCATAAGGCATCATTAGAGAAACCATCCTTACGAAAAGGTGTCTTCGGGCAGAGTGAAGATAACAGGATTTATGGTGTCTGAAGGTGCTCAGAACCCATGCAAGCATTGCCCACGGCAATCGCAAAGACTTAGAAAGATTTTCCAAATGCTAGTATTAAAGGGAGGGAGAGAAAGAAACCAACCACCCCAGCTCTTAATCTTGGCCATCCTGCTAGGCATTACAACCTGATTTCTTCTATTTCTACTCCAACTTCTCTAAAACGTCTGATTCCAAACCGCCTTCTAGAAATCAATAGTGTACAGGGGAATGATTAAGAGCATGGGCTCCAGAGCCCGTCTTCCCCAGGTTCATCTCTGGCTCTGCTACTTACTAGCTGTGTGACCTTGGACAAGTCACTGACCCTCCCTGTACCTCAGTTTCCCCTCTCAAATGGAGATGATCACAGAACCATCTCAGCGGACTGCGTGGTAAATAAGTCTCTCCAGGCGAAACCTTAGCGAGGAGCTTGGAAGTTGGTGTCACCTGTTGGTGGCGGTGGTGACAGAGCAATTCAGAAGCCAATCACCACCAGAGCACACGGAGCACAGTGAGACGTCTGGCGAGGCTGGGTTGAGCAAACCAATGAAAACTCCAGTCTAGGTGACAGCTAAACACATCTGAGAATTTTATTCACAGACAAACTTTTCCATTCGGCTTATCCTGTTCCAGAAATTCACATCTCCACTGATCTGAGCTGGTCATGCGCACCGAGTGCTGGACCAGACAGTAGAGCAAGCCAGTCCTTAAGGCGTTGCCTGAAGACAGCTGACCGTAGGGCCGGCCTACAGATACCTTCGGTGCAGCGTTAATTGGATCGTGCTTAAATGCACGTTTAACAAAAACACCGACAGGAACATGACAGACAGATTTTGTTACCCTGAACTTGGTGAGCTCTGGGTCTCAGGAGTGGGGACCACTCACCCAAAGACTCAGCGGCCAGGTGTGAAAGTAGGGACAGTGGCACTGCGCTGTCCTTGATGCCAGCACAGGGACTGTCCCCTCCGCCGGCACACCCTGAGCCTGCTCCTCCCAACCCAGCGCCGCCCCTACGATGATGCAGGGAGAGCACTGCAGGGTCCCGAAGACCAACATCGGGGGATTATTTTGTGCTACTTTCAATTACATGAGCTGTGAAGGCTCTGGCGAGGTTCGAACAATTTTATCTGGCCCTGACAAGCCTCTGAAGAACATATATCCAATTTTCATTCCACTTCCCTATCACCCCCTTATCTCTGACTTTCTTTTCTCTGCTCCAGGAACTGCTTATCACGCTTAAGTAAACAAATATAAATAGGGGTTTTTCAACTAGTTGCAAAACTCCATGCTTAACAGCACACACTGCATTTCTGACCTAATCCCTGCTTACACACCAGGATGTTCCAAGAGATTTAGGCCAAAGTTGATTTTCTTCTCCTCTGTCAATGGCCTGAGTGTCCTTGGCCTACATGGCACACAATATCTGAAGCAGAAGTACTTTTTCTTAGCATTTTCCTTGGCTGCGTCTAATTCCGAGCATGTGGAGGCCTGGTTTTGTATATAATCACTGTTTATTTCCTTAGTACATTTTCTATCTCCTGCAAGTGTGCTGCCAAATGTTTAAAGCTTTCTAGTTTGAAGCACAAGCCATAGAGAAAGATGGGAGATACACAAAAAGCAGGAGAGAAATTCTTCTTTTTAAACAAAAGCTGAATGTGGTTTAACTCAAATTGAGTTTCTGAATTAGGCCACAGCCAGTATGCAAAACCCCACCAACGAGGACATCTGAGGCACTGGACACGGCAAGGTAATGCGTCAGAGCAGCAAGGCAACATGTACCTAAAAAAGGTATTCTGCAGTGTGGTCACCATCATCCTCAAGGTGCAAAGTAATATATTAAAGTGGCTACATTTCATAAATGCTTCCTGACTCTTCATTTTATTCAATCCTAATGAGTATTCCGTTGTATATATTTTATTTAAAAAATATTTGAAATGATATTTTAAAGCAATATTTAACTCTCTCCTATATGCTGGCAAGAAATAAGAATGTTATAGCAGTGACTATAAAGAATGATCCACTGCTACAAATCAACATCTTTTGGATTAATAATTCAAATTAATAATAATTCAAAGAAGATTTAAAACTTTCCAGGGCTAAAAAGTTATCCTACTGACAAACTTAGAATCTGTAACAAGCATGGAAACAAGCCTGTGCCCAGTTCTGAAGTTCTATACGGCTGCTTGTTTTATGTTTCTGAAACATTTTGCTGTCAGTGATTTAGTTCACATCCACGTGGCCAACCATTTGTTTATTCTATTGCATGCCATCTGTTTTTTGGTAGAGAGGTTTCAAGTTCTTCTCATTCCCTACCTCATATCCCACGGAAAACAATTTATAACACACTTAGATTTAAATCTTTTAGATTCATGTAGAGTTGGTAACTCGAGCTGCCTTTCACTGATATTTGGCAAATGCTTTAATGGGATTAGCAAATTGTGTTATTATGAGGTACTTATGGAGACACAACACCATTTTTTTTTTTTTTTACAATGACAAATGATGTTACCAGTTTCATGTTGGACGTTTAATAGCAATACAGGTTTCACTAACGTTACAGGAAATTGCCCTGATAGACAATAAAGTCCTACCACAAACCCTGTCCATATCTTTTATTTCTGAGAGTCAACAAGTATGTGTATCTGGATGTGACAGGATCTACAGTGAGGAATAGATAGCAAGTTGCTTCACTTTTAAGAGAAAGAGAAAGTTATCATTTAACCCACAGCCCTGAAAACCCTGTCTGGTCCTAGCATCTTGCTGGCATCCTGTAAGCCCTCCAAACATGGTCTAGCTCAGTGGTTGGCAAACTGCAGCTCGCAAGCCACATGCGGCTCTTTGGGCCCTTGAGTGTGGCTCTCCCACAAAATACCGACTTCTGTGTATGGGCCACAAAGTTTCAATTGCACTGTACATGCGCGCCCGGACGTGGTATTTTGTGGAAGAGCCACACGTAAGGGGCCAAAGAGCCGCATGTGGCTCACGAGCCACAGTTTGCCGACCACTGGTCTAGCTTGTCTTGTTACTCACAAGTGGTGGCAGTCCCCAGACTTCCCCAAAGAAAAGTTTATGCCACAAACTCCAGCTCATCTGCACCAATTTATTCCCATTCTAGGCCCCCCCCCACTTTGATTTGCTTTAAAGAAGAGCCAACCATTGAGAGGCACAGCTTCTTGTTGAAACTATACAGATGATGCTTAAAGTGTTAATTACCATTTTGACAAGAATCCTCGCTGCTTTGGTGGAGGGGGGCTGTCTGCTGACAGGACTCAGCGGCTGTCCATAGTTCATGGTTTTCACCTGTGGGCTGAGAAACACCTGTCTTGAGGTCTACTTGATTTTCACTAGTCCTTTCCGAGTCAGAGTTAGATATACTGGGGGGACAAGTGGCGTCCTGGTGGATGGCTGGTGGAGTTGGTTTGTCGAAAGTGTTAAATGACATTTGTACTAAAGCATCGTTGATGAAGACTGAATTTTCATAATGTAAACTCTCAGATCGATTAAGTTCCATTACCTGTGTAAGAAAATAAAAAGAAAAACAACCAATAATTTCTCCAGGCATTTGAACAAGTTTTATCAAGTATTTATTCCTGGTAGAATTTAGCAGGCAACATTTTAATAAGAGTGAATCAAGAACATTACCCTTGACTCCTTCCTTCTAGGCCTTCTTTAATGAGCTAGTACCAAAAACTTTAATTCACTATGCACAGCATATCTTTAAAAAAACAAAACAAACAAAAAAAAACCCAGCCCTGGCCGGTGGCTTCGTTGGTTGGAGCATCATTCTGTACAAAAGGTTGCCAGATTTGATTCCAGGTCAGGGCACATACCTAGGTTGTGGGTTCCATCTCCAATCGGGCTGCACATTGGGGACAATGCATTGATGTTTCTCTCTCACATCAATGTTTCTCTCTCTCCCTCAAATCAATAAGATGAGGCTTAAAAACACACACAAGCAGTTGTGCTCTCTGCCATTCAAATGTTCCACTTTATCTTAAGAGAGAGCAGCATTTTAACTTTTGTTAAATAAAAAAGCTGAAAACATATTCATGCACACATGTATTTGCAATAAATGTAATTTAGCCTACTTGAAAGGAAATTCAGATGCAGCAGAATTCTCTTCTAAGCATATCAACTTTTACAGCATTACATACTATCAATAAAAAAAAAAAGCATGGATTTGCACATAGCGCAGAAAAGCAAACTCTTGGGACAAATGAATTGCCAAGCACGGTTAGAGAGGGTGCAAGTGGAACACAGAATCCTCGGAAAGGTTTTATTCTGCCCAGTCATTAGCTAGTAGACTCCTGTGAACCATTACTAGTGAAAGGGATTTTGAATTTACTCTGTCAACATGACAAAAGGAGCATAAGCACGGAATAGCAGAACAGTGTTATACTTGCTAAATTCAGGGCCTATACTACACATTAACAGCTAGCTGACCTACTAACAGGTAAGCCTGTATACAAGGCTAAGACCAGACCATATGAAGAGCGGCCTCCCCTACGGAAATCAGCATGCTCAGGTGGGGTGCCTCCAGGACAATCCTCCTCTTGCTGGGACAGCGCGATTCTGTGTTCATTCCCTTGGGTAAGAGCTCAACCTACAACGGGCCCAGGATCCCACAGGACCAAGGCCTTTCGCATTTCCATATTTCAAATCAAGACGCATGTGCACCGTCTGGGAAAGTTCCAAGCTTCTGCATATTAAATAACTCTCGTGAGCGCTTACACAAGAAGCAAAGAGACAGGACGGTGAGTGAGCCTGTCCCTGCGCGGCTGCCCTCCACACCGCCTGGGCAAGCTCTGAAGACCCATCCGTACCTCCTGGCTTCCTGGAGAGAAGGCCGCGGGAAGGCTGCTCTGCCGGCTGTGCTTCCAGCCGCCCAGCAGGCTCTGCTGGGCGCGCATCCTGCCCCTCTCCCTCTCCACCAGGCGCTGGCCCGCCCTCAGCTGCTCCAGGTTCTGCAGGTACTCCTGCAGCTGCAGGTCCAGCTCCCCGCGGCTCCTGCGCAGCTGCTCCTCCTGCGACTGGCACTCCCGCTCGCGCTCCTGCAGCCAGCTCTCCCGGGCCTCCTGCTCCCGCCGCTGCTGGTCGCACCTGCGCTGCCAGCGCCGCTGGTCCTGCTGGAACTGGCGCTGCAGCTTGGGGATGTCGGCCAGCTCCTCTCGCCGCTTCTCCAGGCTGCGGTGCTTGTCCGGGTCCTGGAAGGGGCTGCCTCGGAAGGAGGGGCCCGGGGACGAGCTGTCCTGCGGCTGGAGAAGCAGCCTGTGGATCTCGATGTGGCTGTCCTGGATGGTCAAGGCGGCCTGTGGGGCAGAGAGGGAGAGGGAAGGCCTCCATGTTGTCTGCACTTTGGTTGGAACTACCTCTCAACACAAAAGGCTTGACCGAATTCTACCCTCTTGCTATCGCTGTCCTTTTTCTCCGCGACCTCTAAAGGCCAGCCTTGGCACATCAGCTAGGCTTGTCTACACTTCCCAGTGGTAGGGCCTGGGAATTTATACACAAAAGAATAAAGCACAGAAGCAACAGGCACCCCCTGCTTTTGGAAATGGGGTTTGTTGCTGGGTTTTAGATAGCATTTCTGAATAAGAATTCAGTGCATAAATTCACAAGACTCTGCATTCCTGTGCTGAATCTCACGCTCTCTCAGAATTCATGAGAAGTTAAGAATCTATATAAACCCGGTAGTATCTTTTACTTGAGTCTCAAGCCAGAAATTACTTAAGCTACATTACATATATGAAGACATAAGAATAAAACTCGACCACTTGTAGACTTTTGGTAAATAACCTTTTTATAGTATGATGCCCAGGAATAGCAGTTAATATATTTAGAGTATGTAGGTGGTAAAGTTAGTCTCGTTACTGTTATTTCTTTGTATGATAGCAGGAAGGCCATGCATTAAGCTGAAATTCATGTGTTTAATAGTTGCTAACAGGAAGCTGGAATGGTTAAGGAAACATAGATACTCTAAAGCCCAGAGGATTACCAACTAGATTAAAAAAACATTTTGAGTTACGGTATCTGCCTGTGAAAACTTTGGCCACATCACAGGAAGTAACTGCCAAGATTTGGAAGGATTCCACAGGAAAAAAATATATCTGTGAATACCCTTGGAAGCTTTTAATTTTAAAAGTTCCCACTTAAAGTGCAAAGAAGCACAGAGGGGACTAATTGGAAATGGCCACATACTGGGTATGTGTGTGTGTTTTGACTCATTATGAGAAATTATTACTCTTTGAGGGGTAAGTTCACATTTTTCTTTCCTAAGAATTTTTAAAACTGTCCATGTAACAGATGCTGGGAGGATGGGGATTTGACCATTAGTTCTTTGTTAGATCAGCATACTTTTGAAGGTTAAAGGAGTAAGGTATATTTGAAATTGGTACTTATCTTGGAATAAGAGTCAAAAATGTATTCACTGGGGCCTTTTGAAATAAAATTCATGTTTTTAAATTTGAAAAGAATTCTTAAAATTTCAGAGCCACACAAACCTTTGATTCATGTATGTAAGAAGTTATTGCAAAGAGAACAATGATCACTGAGAATAGGTACTGGTTACTTTGATCTTTAAGTATGAGATCATAAGCCATTCAAGACTGTGAGGCCCTAGTGGGTAAACTGTAACCTGCACATCACCATTTAATTCTAACAAAAGCTCAGCCATCAGTCCAGTAAAACAAACAAAAATCCAATATTTCGCATGTCAAAACCACCATCAGCAATGGTAACGCTCATGTAAGGGTTGCAATTAGACTAAGTGCTACCATGAAGTATTCCTCACCTCTACTTACATTTCGGATAAGACCATTTTCTTCTTAGCAGAGAGGTAGAATTTGAAGATTGGATTGTATTCATTTTCACACTTAAAGGTGACATTGATAATTAGGACAGAAAACAGCACTTGCTTTTCAACTTTAGGGAAATGCCCAGTTCACTTCTCCTAATTTCTCTTTGCTGGAGTAATTCTGTGGCCGTTCCTTCCTGCTTTGCCAATACCTCATCTAACTCCGCTCTCCTAACACAAGCACCAAACTTCATTTTCATGTAATCCAAAAATGTTTCTGTAAAAGCTTCAAGCATGCATAAGAAACTCAGCTTCACAAGAGATGTCTGTTCCACGAACAGAAATCTCTCAGAGCCCGTATCCTGAGACCAGCTCAAAATCTTTGGTTAAGAGAATCCATGCTGCTTCAGCCTAATGAGTTGCAAAGATTAGACCATTTAGGTCACCTGGCTCTTCTGAACCTTGAACCCACAGAGGAATGCATTCAAAGTTGAAAAGAAGAGATATGACTTTGTGTTTTCATCAGGCAGCACACGCCAGGATACTCAATGTTCTTATCTCCCCAAAGGTAATGAGGATATATATATATATATCTGACTATATCCCCTCTCGTTAAAATGGAGAAGAATATTTGTTTTACATGACAAATGCAATCTCTAAGACCATCTACCCCAAACCAACATGTCTAATGTAAGACAGTAAAGGCAGTCCCACTAAATCTGGAACAAGACCAGGATGTTAATATTACCACTATCACTTAATACATTTTCAGAAGTTCAATCTAGCCAAAGCAGCAAGCCAAGAAAGTAAAACTGATATAATTATTAAAAAATAGCCATAATAACACTACTTTCAAATTTTTACTTTCTATCTGGAATATTCCAAAGAATCAACAGAAAAACTATCTATACTAACAACAGAGGAATATGCAAATTGGCCAGGATGCCCTCATGCAACAACCAAACAGCAGGCAGCGTGGGGTGATCAGGCTGGTGGGAGGGGGGGGAGGAGGGGGGACAGTGAGGAGCAACCAGGCCAACACGGGGTTGGGGGGGTAGTTGGGGGCAACCAGGTTGGCAGGGGGGGCAGTGAGGGATGACCAGGCCAGCAGCAGGGGGCAGTTGGGGGCAACCAGGCCAGCAGGAAGGGGCAGTTAGGGGTGACCAGGCCGGAAGGGAGGGCAGTGAGGGGTGACCAGACTGGCGGGGGGGGGGGCACTTAGGGGCAATCAGACAGGCAGGCAGATGAGCAGTTAGGACCAGTGGTCCCAGATTGTGAAAGGGATGTCCAACTGCTGGTTTAGGCCTAATCCCCGGAATCAGGCCTAAACTCACAGTCAGACATCCCCCGAGGGGTCCCGGATTGGAGAGGGTGCAGGTTGGGCTGAGGGGACTTCCCCTCCTCCTGCACGAATTTCGTGCGCCGGGCCTCTAGTTAAAATATAAAATTCAATGAGTGGCCGGTTACAAAATAAACATATAAAAATCAAGACCCTTCTTATCAGCAACCACCACTGGGGAAGCATAAAAAAAATATTCCTTTCACAATAGGAACAACGAGACAAACATCTAGAAATAAACTTAGCAGAAAAACAAACAAACAGTACCTACTTGAAGATAATCACAAAGCTTCCCAGCAGAGCATGAAATAAGAGATGACTAACATGTTCAAAGACATGAGTATTAATCATTGCAAAACTGCCAATTCTCCATAATTGAATTCATAAATACAGGGTGGGGCAAAAGTAGGTTTGTATGGAAAATAATACAAGAATAAGTAATAATACAAGAATAAACTGTTTTGAGTACTCAGAACAGTAAACGTACTTTTGCCCCGCCCTGTATAATGAGATTTTAATTAAACAATCTCAGTAGAAAGGAAAAAAACTTGTTAGTCACTCAAAAACTCTTTATGAAAAAACATACAGATAAGCATAGAAAGTAATAACAGGAAACTGGCACTGTCATATATGTAAATGTAACCCAAAACTTGAATAATTAAGACAGTGGCACAGAGCAAGAATCGGTAGATGATCAATGGAACATGAGAGAAAGAAGTCTTGATGCAGTTGAAGTACAAATAAGAAAAAGTCAAATGTAGCATGACTTTATTTTTGTTTTCTGGTGAAAACTTAAAAACAGACAATTTTATTTTATTTTCATATTCAACAGCTATGAGATAGGAAGTATGACTGGTAATAAACCAGTAGGAAAAATGTTTGATCTTAACAGTCACCCAAACAATTTAAATTAAGATAATCTGATATCTTGACCAATTTTCAAACTGAAAAGTAGAGAGGGGTATTGATTAATTATTTTGACAAGGTCTATTAAAAAACTAAAGAAAATGTCCCAGTAATCTAAGGAAACACTCAGATATCTTCAAAGAAATTAGTGTATAAGGATAATACTAGAGTGTTGTTTATATAAATGTATTAATTATGAGGAACTGGGTAAATAGCTTTAATAGACTGGAACATTATGTAACCATAAAAACTGTGCTATAGAATAACCGCTGATGACACAGAAAGGTACATGTTGCAAGACTCTATGTGAAATGATTCTAAGAAACAGGAGGGATACACACCAACATGACATTAGTAATTCTGCCCGTAGAATCACAAGTTATTTTATTTGTACCCTACAAATTATCCTACAAATTTATGTACAATACAACCATTGCTTTTCTATCATTTTAAAATATTTTTTTAATTCACAAATTAAGCAATTAGATGCATTCAGCCTTTCTTGTGTGTGCCCTAAGAGACCATCCAAACCTATAATTCTCAACGCAAGGACGATGCTATGTCTGTCCTTCCCGGACAGACGGCACGTCACCTGACAGCAGGCTCTGTGGTCCTTCTGCCTTCGTGTGCCAGCACAGCGAGAGCACTCAGTACATGTTGGGTGGATGAACAAACCAAAGAACGAAGCAGCATATGAATTATTTAACTGCTCTAAAGGCCCAAGGCCAACATGTGGAAGTGAAAAATGTTTAGGTGTGAATTTAAGTTTTCAGCAGAAAATGTGAAGTCTGCTACACTCACCTAAGAGTTTCACTGTAGACTTCAAGCCAGGTCATAGTCATCAGTATTTTTTAAAGATATGAACTGTTTTATGGTTTCAGAAGAGAACGGTATAAAATGCAGTAGTGGTGTTGCCCTGTGATTACAAAACCAGGTGAAGTCCAACACACCTCGCTGCGTTACAGTGGGGGCTGGCACTCTTGTAAGATCATTTGTGAGGACCACAGAGCCTCACAAATGTTCTAGTTTTTAAAGTCTGGGAATCATCAAATAAAGTGAAGTGCATTGCGAGAAACATTCACAGGGTCAAACATTAGAGGAGCGTAGTTACCTGAAGGCTGTATAAGAGACGGGTTAAATTCTGTATCGCTTGTATAATCTGAAAAATAAGATCCTAAGTGTCAAATTCTGGAAAAAGCATTTATATCCACAAAAGAAGAGAGGATGGTGGTGTGTTTAAGGTATGCATAACTCACCTCTGACTGAGAGGAACCTGGAAAACTTCTATATTCCTCCTAAAATACACAAAAGCATAAGAAAATGAATAATCACTCCACTTCTGAAAAGCTGCTCTGTAGTGTTCCCAAATGTATGGCCTCGGGTAAATCTCTTCACTCTCTCTGGGATCTTCTATGGTGGGTGACTCCGTCTCCCCCCAGAAATCAAAGCCTAGAGAGCTAACAATCACGTAATGGAAGCCCTCTCTGTGCAAGCTTGGTATTTGAGATGCAAGCCATCCTTCCGCCCAACCATTCCCTAAAACTACAAAGGATGATGGCAAGGAAACACTGCACACTCTCGGTAAGAGACAAGATTTGCCATCACAAACCACTGTAAATCGAGCTCTCTTGTGCCGAGTGAAGTTGTCTCCCAGACCAAACTGGCCGCTAGCATTCTGGATCCAGATTTGGAAGTGAGAGAGCATCATGCCTGGTCTCTAGCTCCCTGTCTTAATGTTTGAGATTCACAGAGCCCAACAGCCAGGAGTGGGCAGAAGGAACCAGACCCAGAGGCGGCCCAAAGGGGAGCACTTAGCTGACCTGCTCCAGATCCTGCCTCTCCGAGTTCCCTGGGCCCTCCATGCTCATAGAACCATTACAGCAGAGGCCATAAATGATACGAGGAGGCACCACCTGCCCCTGGGATGGGGTCTCTCTACCCACACAGTAAGGGTACATGTGGATAATGAGGGTTTCTGGCTTCCAGAGTTGAATGAAACAATTGTCTATTCATTTACTGTCTGTCTTTTCTCACTAGAAGGTCAGGCAATGAATAGCAAGATTTCACCTGTGTATCCAATGCTATATCCACATACCTGCCTGGTATGAAATGGACACTCACTCCATTCTATAAATAGATATGGACACCCACACTTTATGTTATGAAAGGTCATCAGATTCCTTCTCTCCAAGAGCCTCTAGTCTCCCATTGCTCTTGTCTGAGCAGCTTTAAACTGAAACTACAAGAAACAGTCAGCTGTTGGTGCTCAGGTAACGTTGGGCTTGTTAAACTCAATAGTTCAGACCGGTGATGCCTTGACGACCTAGCCAGACCTCTTCCCCCACAGCCAGTTAAAGATGTCGTCATTCACCAGCACCTCTCGTAGGGGAAGACCAAAGGATGGAGAAGGGGATGAAGTTTAGTCATGAGATCGGTTCCCAACCCTCTGGAAGGTAATGGGCTAAGAACCGCCCTTCTGTAGTGAGTTTGGAATTCTCTCTGCATCCCTGGTTCTGTCCTTGCTCCACACCCCATGGTTTTTGTAATGAAATGATAGCTCGATATACAGTTTTTATATTCTATAAAAATTACAAACATAGAAATGAATTATGCAACAGGCCGTTACTTATTTCCAAGAACCACCCGAGGTTTGATGCAGGACTGGAATGTTTCACATCATCTTTTTAATGGAGTTGGCCCGCCACCTTGTGGTCAATGTGCAGAGCTGCAGGTGGTGATTTACAGGATATTTTGTAATATTTAAAAATTCTTTCAGAAAAAAAAATTTTTAAAACCTTACCTTACTAAGGTCTCTATTATAAAATAAACATTGTATGTTTTCAAAAAATTTAATTTTAAGTGATCCATCCCTGTCAGTTCATTTAGTTTATCAAAATACCTTATTAATGGCAAATTTTCCAGATAAGCTTATGCAAAGAGGAACCTAGACACTTCATCTCACTTACCTGCTACTGCATCATGGAAGGAAAAGACTTTTAGGGGTGGGATCCAGCCACCTCAGCTTTCCATCAAGAGAAAACTATTAGGGTTCAAGCCCTCCCCTTCCTTTCTCTAACAACATAAAAGCAGTTGGGAGATACAGACTTTAAAGGGAAGGCCTCACTGAAAAGGATGGAAAGCAGAACACTTTAAAAAGAAGTGTGAGAAAGAATACAGTCAGAACAAGAGGAGTAAAATACTGCATTCCTAGTTTCATTTTGGCCTGTGAAGTTTTAAACCACCACAGCCATCTTTAACAATACCTTTGGGTTTGATTTCTCAGTCATTTGTATATTTGTACAAAATATATATGCTCTATAAAATGTTACATATATAAAGATCTGACATGTCATTTTCCCACATTAACACATATTGATATTTGGCAATGTACCTAATTCGATTTTAGATAAAGCTAAACTCTTGAGCCCAGACAATCCTGGGGAGGCCCACTAGGATTCTTAGTCCCTCTCTATTTCTGACATCTCAGTTTCATTTGGGGTTAATAGGAAGTTTCCCACATTTAATTTTTAAAAGAGTGTATAACTTACGTGGATAGGATGTCAAAAAAGAAGAGGCCCCAGGCAGAAAAAGAAAAAGGGGGGAAGGAAGGAAGGAAGGAAGGAAGGAAGGAAGGAAGGAAGGGAGGGAGGGAGGGAGGGAGGGAGGGAGGGAGGGAGGGAGGGAGGGAGGGAGGGAGGGAATATTCCAAAATCAAAATTATTTCTGCCACTTTAGTGCCACCTGGTGGCGTAAAAGCCCCGATGCCTGGGAACATCCCTTGGCCAAGAACTGGGGAATGTAGTGGGTGAAAAGCGAGAGGCTTCAGCGCGGAAAGTGAAAGTGAGACCAGAAGACACACAAGTAAACACTGGCGTTTTCAATCTTTTTAATAACTTTTCGAGTGTTTCATGTTTACACCTACATGATATAGAAAGAGCAAGAACATTTTAGGGAGAAGTACGTTAGAAAGTTTAAATATAAATACTGAACTTGAGAACAATTCAGGAGAACATGTTCATACCACTCGGGGCCGTGGACAGACCGGGACCTGGGGTGATTCTATTACACAAAGTAACCGGTACCATTTACTAACAAATCGGTTCACAATACCTTCTCCCCTGCATCGGAGGCCGCCAAGTCGGCTCCCACACCCTGGGTCCCGGGGTCCACATCCCAACAGCCTCTTCCTCCTGTCCCTTCTGTGACTAGTGCTGGAAGCGTGCCGTTGAGACAGAAACAAAAAGGACATCGTCACACATCAGCCAGCGGACCCGGCTCTTTTGTACACAGCTGACACATATTTCCAATTAACAGACACCGTGAGATCACATGTATTGAACATGCTCGTATGAGGTGCTAAAATAGCTAAAATAGCGCAGAGCAACGCAGAGACCCTGCCCTCAGGGAGCTTACAGGCTAACGGGTACCAAACTGACAAAGGGCATCCGTTATCATCCATCGTTTTGTTTTTCTTCTTTTCTTGCAGAGAGGTGTTCGTGTGACGGTGGTGACACCGAGAAGGTAGACTCTCCATCTCACTTTCACTGAATAGGAAAAAGCCGCCCGGGGAGGGTGAAGTTGAAAACAGGCATCGTGGGGCAGAGCAAGGCTGGCCGGCCCAGAGCCAGGGGCACGGGTCTGCGCCAGGCTCCCTGGTGGCCGCACGAGAGCAGCAGGCCATACACAAGGCTTAGCGGGAGGGACTCGCCCACAGCAGGAGGGGAACTGGTGTTAAAAAACAATTTCCAAGTGGGTTTTTTTCTCACAACTCTTGTTTATGCTCTGAATTTATAATACTGTTACTACTGTATGTTTAACCTATAAAAACAGAAATATTTCTACTCCAGAAATATTTTTTACGTACCACCCACAGATGTCACTCCATTCATTAAATCTCTGTTGTTGGGACTATAGGCTCACCTTATACTGATTAAACAAAACCTTCTAAAGCCCTTTCACACGTAGAATTTCATTGGACCCGGCCCAATCAGGACCCTGATGAAACAGATACGTTGTGACTCTGTTTATATATTTTTTCCTCAGTGCCATCTTGAAACTTCATTTCTGATAAAGGAAATACTGTTTTCTCCTTGTTTAAACGAGAGTCCTCTAATACAAAGAAGTTTTTGTTTAAGCAGAAATGACTTCAAATTATAGCAGCTAAAAAGTAAGTTCATTTCGCCCAAGCCAGTTAACACTTGTTCATGTATACAGTGAAGGGACATTTTATAAAGACTTTTCTGTCACTAAAATGTGGTTCCACTATTGGGTACTGTTCTTAACTCTTAGCGAGATGCCAAGAGCATAAACAAAAGAATTGGCCATTCTCTCTCTTCCCTTCATAGGAACAAGGACCCCCCGATGGGGAAGGCAGCTGATGGTGGTCCATGAAGGCAGGAGGAGGGAAGCTAGGCCAGGTCCCTCTGTTCCTGCGGTCAGCTCAGAGGGGACGAGAGGGTCTGCAGAACTTTACAGGGAGCAGACTGTACTCCCCCACCTGAGTAGCCCAGCCGTGGGCAAACTACGGCCCGCGGGCCGGATCCGGCCCGTTTGAAATGAATAAAACTAAAAAAAAAAAAGACTGTACCCTTTTATGTAATGATGTTTACTTTGAATTGATATTAGTTCACACAAACACTCCATCCATGCTTTTGTTCCGGCCCTCCGGTCCAGTTTAAGAACCCATTGTGGCCCTCGAGTCAAAAAGTTTGCCCACCCCTGAGCTCTACTGAGGCCTGAAACAGAGGGCCTTGCTTGGCCTCTAACCTCAGATGGGCCAGGGCCTGACTTAGAAGGACACAGTCCTCACAGTCAAACCCAGGGCTGAGCCTTGAGGTGTAGACCCTCACGCAGGGATGGTATTTTGTCCTCATCAACGTTACAAAGAGAATCAAACTCTGCAGCACCACGTTCCAGTCCAGCCCAGAGCTGAAGAGGTCTTTGGGGTACAGGACCCCGCCCATGTGCCCTGCCCCTCCTCTACAGGAAGCCTGATATCAGAACCAGCCTCTTGGTGGTGGTGGCAGATGTCCTGGGAGATGTGGATACCGAAGGGGAGAACGCTCGCTGCCTGCTCTGCGGGGAGGGAAGGCGTGGCCCTGTGCTCTGAGCAGCTGTGCAGCCGAACACGGCCCCTCCCAGCTGTCCCAGGGTGAGTCTGAGAGCAGCAGATCCCTACGTGTATTTTTAGCTAGAACTTCCTTAATGGCATAATGAGGTTCTTCTTTACAGAGGAAATCACCCAGGGCAGTACAACTCCCCTGATGAATCTGGGCTGTGTCGAAATGAAAAACATATGTGCGCATTCTGAAAATAGAAACCCAGGATTAGATAAAGCAGAACTGAAGAGGGGAAAATAATTACTGATGCTAGTAAAAAAATGTATAGAATTTTAAAACTGTACCACTTCCATTCATCTTATTTAACCAATGGTTGTTTGTAGAGAAATTCTAAGACAATTTAATCCTCCAATTTCTAGCTACTAAAAGACATATAAGACCTGGTGGGAGTAAAGTTTTTTATCACCTGAACATAATAAAAATTATAGTTGTAAATATCTTTTCATGCTCTTATATCAGTAACCTTTGGAAAATTAAATCTTTAGATTACCACTATACATATAACAGTATAATTAGGTTTAGAGAAATTACCTAAATCAATTCTCTACATTTTATTTTTCTGTATTTAAAAAATATTGAAACAGTATTTTCATAAATAAATTCTAACCTGAAGTGTATGACAACATTAATCAAAAATCTTTTGGCACTTCTGCTATGTTTGTTTGTTGTTGTTTTCTCAGTTTTCTTTTAAATATTTTTAATTGGATTTATTGGCGTGACATTGGTTAATAAAACTATATAGGCTCCAGGTGTACAATTCTATAATACATCATCTATGACCTGTATTGTGTGTTCACCACCCCAAGTCAATCTCCTCCCACCACCATTCATCCTTCCTTTACCCTCTTCTACCTCCTCTCAGCCCCCTTTCCTCCGGTAATCACCATGCTGTTGTCTGTGTCTATGACATTTTTGTTTGTTTTTTTAATCCCTTCACCTTTCTCACCGCGCCCCCTGCCCTCACCTCTGACAGCTGTCTGTTCCCTGTATCTATGAGTCTGTTTCTGTTTTGTTTGTTAGTTTATTTTGTTCATTAGATTCCACATATATGTGAAATCATATGGTCTTTGTCCTTCTCTGACTGGCTTATTCACTGAGCATAAGACTCTCCAGGTCCATCCACTGCTTTTAGCCCCGCCACCACATACGTGTGTGTGTGTGTGTGTGTGTGTTCCTACTCTGCTCAGTCCTGTTTTCTCCACTGATGCAGAAATTAAGTTAAAGGTCTTGTTTTCTAAAAAAAAAAAAAAAAAAAAAAAGGCTGAAAATATCTTTTAAAACTGTATTCAATAAGTTATATCAAAAATTAGTAAGTTTAGGGGGAGGTACAAAGTTTGCCTGGGCAACAGCAATACAATGCACCAGCTAACTATTCTTTCAGTCCTTATCCTTGTAACAACAGAGTCATTATTACACGTAAAAGCTAGTGTATTTATTTTCAGGGTTTTTTCTAATTTTAAGAAATGCATTACGACCCCTTCAAATAGGAATACAGTCGTTGCCTTCATGTTATGCAACCACTACACACACGGGATTGTGTGTCGGCTCATAGCAAAGGCCCGCGTTTCACTTACAAGCAGTAGGCGGTCCTGGCGCGTCACAACTGGGCACATCGGGCAAGGCAGCTTCTGCACACCCTTCCTCAGGGGACTGACAGGCATCGCCCGTCTGGGAGGCCTTCACTGCGACCTGCAGGCTCTCAGCTAAGAAGCAGGAAAACGAAAGTAAGTTTAAAAATAAGTATACGTACCTCTCGGGTACACTTATAGTTGCTCATGTGGAAGGTAATACAATAATTCATAAATAATAATGCGAGAATACACTCTGTGCTTTGCATACTCACAACCACAAACCCACCCTCTGTGTGTGTGTATTTTAACATTTAGACCAGAAGTTGGCAAACTATACTTGGCCTATGTCTGTTTTTATATGGCCCAGGAGCAAAAAAAAAAAAAAAAAAAAATGGTTTTTACATTTTTAAAGAGTTAAAATACATACACATGCACAGACACAGAATAATGTGTTCCAGAAAGTTTATGTAGCCTGAAAAGCCTAAACTATTTACTATTGAGCCCTTCACAGAAAAAGTTTGCCCACCTGCAATCTAAAGCAATGCTTTAAGCATCATTTTATGATAGAGTATTTAATAAAAAACCAAACTTGTATAAAAATATATCACTTTCGGTAAATGACTGTGCTGAAAAAATTTAATTAATTTAAATATGATATTGGGCATTAGGATTTTAAGACTTTCTACTCTGAAATGTTAGTTATTCTTCAAAAAGAGTATTTCTCCAGCCCTGGCTGGTGTGGCTTGTTGGTTGGGTGTCATCCTGTGCACCAAAGGTTTGCCAGTCCAATTCCTGGTTAGAGCACATACCACATTACAGGTTCAATGTTCTCTCTCACATCCATGCTTCTCTCTCTCTCTCTCTCTCTCACCCCCCCCCCTCCCCCTTTCTCCCTTCCTCTCTCTCCCTCAAATCATTTTTTTTTAAAGAGTATTTCTCCAAACATGCCTTTAAAAAAATTCCCATTCTTCATGGTAGACCTACTGGATCACATTCTCAGGGAAGAAAAAAGGGGATTTGCACTTTAAACAAGCACCTAAATTTTTAAGTGAAGTTTTTCTATTTACAATGAAAGGTTTTCAACTAGCATGTGGAACAGTATTATTTTGAGGACCCTATAAATATTTCCAAAACAGTGTGTCCAATGATTTAATTTATCAAATTGATGACCTTCTCTGTTCTATGGGCTACTGGGCATCTGATAACTAGTAAGGGGAGTTTGCAGGTTGGAGAAGAGAGAGACAGATAACTAACTGCTCTACAAGGTAGCACGTGTTCAATCCTAAGTTCTATCACCCAGGTATTAGAGCATTACAAAATGATACAAACTCATGGATACAGAGAACATTTTGATGACCGCCAGATAGGAGGGGGCCTGGGGAGCTGGGTGGAAAGGGGGAAGGAATTAGGAAGTACAAATCGCCAGTTACAAAAACAGCCACGTGGATGTAAGTACAACAGGGGGAATATAATCACTTGGAGTTTTGATGAAAGCATCACTGTTTCCTGAGCACCAACCACAGTGCACACTGTAGATGCTCAATACACATTTGATGAATGAATGCGTAAGTCCATCGGCAGACCTCATGTCAGACCACCTCTGTGCCGTTCTGAAGACCTGTGCCCTCAACCGGTCTTAGATTCCATGATCCCTAAGTTCTCCTCCAGCTAATGTTGAGATGCTAAGGCAGAGCTTGGCAAACATTTTCTGCAAAGAACCAGATTGTAAATATTTCAGTCTTCGTGGCCCATACCATCTCTGTTGCAACTATTCGTCCTTGCCACGGCAGCAAGAAAGCAGCTGTCGATGTTATGTGCACAGTGGGTGTGGCTGTGTCCCGACTAAACTCTATTTACAAAGACAGGCGGTGGGGCGCATTTCGTCTGTGGCCTGTACTTTACCAACCCTGGGTCTGCACAATAGCACTCTCTCAGGTGGTGGCTGTTTTATCTCCCAAGCTCTTTGGCCCTATTGTCACTTCCAGCCCCATTTCTCACCCCTTAAGTCCCTTTTTACCTTAAAATTTCCCTTACACCACTCACTACTGCTCCTTGTTGCCAGTCACCAACAGACGCCTTGAACAATTTAAGCACCTGGTGCAATTGACCGCCTCCCCACAATCTACTATCAAAACTCTCAGTGAGTCCAATTCCATGAACACAGACCTTCCAATACCCTGGTGTTCCATGGCCTTGTCGTCTACCCTGCCTCAGCCACCAACTCCCACGTTTACACCCTAGACACTGTCATTCTCCACTCGGCAGTCAGAGGGTTTATTTTAAAACACAAAGGAAATCACTCTTCAACTCAAAACTCTGCAATGCTTCCCTCACACTTAGGATGAAATTCAGTCTCCCTACCTCCATCCAGGTAACCTGGGCCTAGTTAACGCTGACTCATCTCCTGCCACTTCCCAGCACTCACATCACTGTACCTGCACTGTCCTCTGTGCTGTTCCTCAGACAAATCTGGCACTCACCTGCCTCAGGGCCTTTGCACCTGCTGTTTCTATGTCTGGAACATTCTTTTCCCAGATTCTGTTTGGATTTCTCAATTCCCTGTGTCTGCTCATATAGCACTATATCAAAGGAGGCCTCCACTGTCCGCCTTCTCCAAAATAAAACCTCCCCAACCTTATTACTCCCTAACCCCCACATCCTGCTCATTGTTCTTCAGAGCACTTGACATAACTTGACGTATTTATTTCCTTACATTTCGCTGTTTCAGGAGAGTCAGGACTTTGTCTTATTGTGCTATATCCTCAGCACCAAGACCACAGCGATGGTAGGTACTCAGTACATGTTTTCTGAAGTGGTCAAACCACGTCCTTTCGGAAGCAACTTACCTTCTTTCAGTGCTGCTGCCAGCAAGGAGGCCGCCTGGGGAGGCTCGCCGGGGTCCGGTTTGATGAGGAGGTGGGGCTCCAGGTGGACATCCTCAAATCCACTCAGTTCTCCCAACTCAGCGTAGATATGCAGCTTCTCCTCCAGATACGTACAGATTTGCTGGTCTTGATTACAGAGTAGTTCTGTGAAATAGCATTTACCGGAGAAGGTTATCACAGGAACCTCGCAGCTATGAAAATCCACGTGACAAGACAAAGAAGTTGCGGATTAGCTAGCAGTGTGACCTAATAGGTGAGATAAGCTTGTGGGTGGGACAGATCCAAGTTCAAACCCTAACTGTTCCATTCAGTGACTGCGGCCTCCAGCAAATGACCTACTTCTCTGAGCTGCCAATGCATTTCCTACAAACGGGGTACTCAATAAATGTCCATTTCTTCTCCCAGTCCCCTAATTCCAGAAAAGCTTGCAAAGCTATTCTTGGCTGGGGCTGTTTTCTATTACGACGAAACATTAAGCTGGGGAATGACACTGAGGCGGCTCATCCATACTGAGTGAAACCCACAAGGGAAAGCAATGCAAAGGCTCCAGGCAGCCTTGGTCAAAACCAAACACAGCGGCTCATGTTTCTATTCCTAAACCTCCAATTTCTTTGACCAACTTTCATGCATCATTTTCCTCTGATCTCAACATGTCACAGGATTCTTCAAGCTTAAAGGGACCAAACCAGGATCTAATCCAGGGGTTCTCCATCTCTTTGCCTCAGAATCACCTGGGAGAGTTTAAAATACTAATGTCTGCACCCCACCCCCTGACAGATTCTCCCTGAATTGGTTGAGGGTGGGCCCAGGCGCCAGGACTTTGAACAACCTACCCGCAGTGATTCTAAGGTCCAGCCAAAGATGAGAATCACTGAGTTGACTTAATTTCCAAATTTCATGGACTTGGAAACTGAGGACCAGAGCTCTTGTGTTCCTTAATTACAGTCATACAACTGTGACCTGACAGTGCTGGGCCTTAAAACTAAACCACTGGACAGCAGTTCTTAGAACCACTGGTGCCACACCACTCACAGTTACTGTTCCATATGTGTCACGTGCAAAAATTTAAAAAATATATTATTTTTTACATTCAATATTATTTTGTATTAGTTTCATGTGTACAACATAGTGGTTAGACAATCATATACTTTACAAAGTGTTTCCCTGATAATTCCAGTACCACCTGGCACCATCCAGAGTTATTACAACATTACTGACTACATTCCCTATGTTGTACTTTACATCCCGGTGACTATTCTATAACTACCAATCTGTACTTTATAATCTCTTCACCTTTTTCACCCAGTCCCCCACCTTCCTCACCTCTGACAGCCATCAAAATGTTCTCTGTATGTATAAATCTGTTTCCATTTTGCTTATTCATTTATATTTTTCTTTAGATCACACATATAAGTGAAAGCATATGGTATTTGCCTTTTTCTGACTTATTTCACTTAGTGCAATGCCCCTCGGTACAGCCAGGCTGTTGTAAATGGTACGATTTCATTATTTTTCATGGCCAAGTTATATTCCATTGTATATATGTACCACAGCTTTTAAAAATATGTGTTCTTCATCACAAAGGAGGAAGTAGGGAGAGATACACCTTATTTAAGCACTCCCAGAGCCAGTTTTTTTGTTTGTTTGTTTGTTTGTTTGTTTGTTTGTTTGTTTGAGAGTAGAGTGGGCCTTGCATGAACAGAATTAGATTAATCAGTCAGTCATAGCTTCCCATTCATGACCCCTGGGCTTTCTCACCATCCACGGACACACACAACAACCAGGGAACCGTAGGTGCACTGTACCTTGACATTGCTGAATTTTGGCCACTCTTGCTTCAGCTTTCCGCTTCTCTTCATCAGACTCACTTGTCCTGCCTTCTTCTTCTTCTGGGCAACTTTAAAAGACAACAGTCAAGAGAGACAACTCAAACCAAGTCCAAGTACCTTTAGGGTCATTAGAAAGACACAGGAGAGGCAGTAGAATCATTCAAAGAAAAAGTCAACATAAAGAGAATTCAACATGCCCCCTGGCCAAGAGATTTGGTTTTCTTGAGCATGTAAAGGACCTTGCGTAATGTAACAGCCCTCAAAGCCAGCAGCATAGGGAATGGGAGTAGGGTGCCAGGTTGGGTGGGGTACAGTGGCAATGAAGGAATTTTATGTAACATCATTCAAGATCTAATGAATCAAATTACCATGAAAAATGACCACCCCCACTCTCCCACCCCCATTTATAAAAACTGCTTGTGCACAATAAGGAGGAGTAAATTGACTTAGAGCACTTAGATCCACTAATCTAAAAACGTTTATTGAATGATTCTTCAGAATCCAGTCCACAGAGAAACATAAGCTATGGTCCCTGCCCTCCAGGAGCTTCCAAGCTAATAAATAACATATATACATAGAAAGTGATTATAGCTACAAGGCAGTTTATGACAAGCACCAAATAAATGCTTCAGAGAGCATGTTAAAGAATTTCAGGTAAGAAAGAGCCAATGGAAGCAAAGAGGTGTTCGAGAAGGAGATGGACAGGGGCCGCACCAAGATGGGTAGGGTTGCCGCAGGGAGAGGGGAGGATGGGGGCTGCATGCGGGGAGGCTCGGAGGACAGAGCTGCAGGTGAGGGCCTATCGCAGGCAGGTGCAGGGGAGCAGACCGCCCGGGCTGAGGCAGTTTTCATGCAAGGGAGACACAGTTAGAGCATGCTCCCCATTGAACCAGCCACTTCCTAGCGGATGGACAGAAGGAAACGTTACCTCTCGACTGCCTGCTGGATCCGTCTCATCCAGTTATTTCGCTCCTCCTTGGAGTTGGTGTGAATCTCATACATCTCAGGGCCAGCAGAAGAAGCGCTGATCAGAAACATTCCTCTCTCCTCATTAGCAACTTCTCGGGCGATAAGCTTCTGAAGGGAAATAACGGATGGCTTCTGATCCTGCGCAAAACAGGAGGACGTGCAGATGAAACAGCATCCCATCCAAAGTGAGGTCTCGCAGAGCACGTTAGCGAAGAAAAGCAACCGTGTTAGGTAAGTCTTAATATCACTTCACTCTTTTCCCAAGAGCTGAGGAAGTTGGCAAGAGCTCCATGGAACAGTTATGGTGAAGACAGGGTGGGAAGAAAAGATACAGGGAAGTGTTTGTCCTCAAGAATTGGTGGCTTAAAAGGACACCTTTTAAAGAAACTAACACGTCATTGACCAAAGAGTGTGCATAAGCAATCGCTAAGCCTCCCTGTGGGGAGGCAGAGCTTCGGATATAAATCCCAACTCCTTTAATTGCTGCAAGTAAATAAAATTACCTTGCAACAAAAAATAAAATAAAATAAAAGGACCACTTTTAAAAAGAGAGGCCCATCAGAGCACTAAGAAAAAACATCAAAATGCCATAGTCAGGGGTGGATGAATTTTTCTAGAAAGGCATGGGAGAGGAAATAGTATATCAAATATTGTGAAGAGATTGAGAGAGATGGAAGGCCTAAAGAGTCCCTTGGATTTGACAGTTAACAACAACACTGTTTCAATAAGGGGACAGATACAGAATCCCAGATACCAAGGAGTGGAATGCAAACATGACAGGCAAGAATGAGGCAGCCAAGCTTTAGACCCCCCTGGCATAACCAGTGTCTCCTGCTATCAATAGGAGCAGCAACACAGCTTCCACAGTTCTACCTGCAAATGTCTCTTATTTCCACTAACCAGGGGACCCTTTGGTGGGCAGGAATAGGTCTAATTCATCTTCATGTCTGACACAGTGCTTTGCATGAGCAGGCACTCACTAAATGTCTGTAGAACGAGATTTAGCTTAATTCTATTGGAGGGGAATAGGAAGAAAGTATACAACTTGGCATCCAATCCATGATGAAGTCACCTCTTCTCCCAATATTTCCTGTGAACACTGTTCCCTCTAAGACTCAGGAATTCAGAGATGAATGAGACACTGAATATAGTAATGTAGTGAGGCAGCCGTAGCTGGAAGAATAGCCAAAGGAATGCTGCTGATGTTTTGGGGGTAAATATGAAGACTCTTCCTTGGTTTGTGGCTTCCATCCCTGTTTATAGTGTAGGTCGCAGTAAGTGGTTTTGCTTCTCCCTCATGGACTGAGCGACGCCTTTACCAGAACATGCTGCTCATTGCCTCACTGCTGACTCTAGTGCTGGCTTTGCTCTCCCAGCATCCACAGCCCCACCACATCTGAGGAGGTCTGCAGGCACACATCCCTGTAGGCATGGAAGGCCTCTGCCACAGAAGAGGAGGAACCGGAGCTGCCACCGGTAGCCCCATGGTTACAATATATCCACTGTGATTCCACAAGGTGGCTGAGTCTATGGGTGAGCAATTCTATTTGTGATCCCACTGTGATAACAAGACCTGAAGGTCACCTCCTCGTTTCAACTTGCACATCTACATGGCAAGACAACCTCCTACACTCAGCATTCCAGGATTTAGTGAACACATCTGCTTTTTTCCTATTCATTTTATATATCTGAGTCCTACTGCCATTTCCAGCTGAGTCCTCTTTGAAAACAATTATCTTTTAGGGGAGCTATTCCATCCTCTTCCTATTTTTCAGCTGTTTATCTTCTGGCCATTTCCAAATTCATCATGTCTTCTGTAACATGTGGCAAGCATTTACTAAAGAAGTCTGTCTAATAGTACAAGAGACAGAGAATCTCACCTGTGGGTATTAGCATGAAGATAACTTTATAAAATACTCATGTGAGAACCAGGAAATACAGATATTTGCATACTCTTAGCCAATGCATCAACTCCCTCAAGATATTAACCATAAGATATTTATGACACATAGGCTGTGCCAACTAAATGTATATGAAGCAACTAAAAAGCATCTGATTGACAGTAGGGTGCACTTGACTCTTTAAGGATAATGCTTCCTCTTTTGCTTCCTGACATCAGCAAGGGCTTAGCTGGCAGCTACATGTTAGGCTAACATCTTCAGGAAACGATATCCGCACCATCTCACTGTTGTCTGTTGCCAAACACATTTTACCCAGAAGAGCTGAGTTGGGGCTGCCTTCAACCTGGCATTTGGTGGGTTGCATCCCTAAAGTCCAATTTCATGGTAAATGTGGCCTATGGGTGGCACAGATAACTCGTCAAGAGGTCCGACAAGAGGGGCAAATCCATACTTCAAGTTATACTAAAAGCTAAGCATCACAGCTAGTTCTCAATCCATACACTCTGTTGTTCTAGAAACAAAACCGTTGTCCATATGCTGTGCCTAATTCTTTGATCCACCATCTGGTTGTCTGGCCGATAGTACCACCCGAGGAGGCAGGATTTGCTTCTCCTTTCGGTCTTTGGTTCTGAGGAACCCTCGTTTCTATAAAGCAGGGGTGTAAATGTGTTTTCTCGCCAACCACAGGTCAAACGGCCCACTCATTTACTCTGCTTTCTTTCAGAGAACCCCGTAACAGCCGAGAGGGGTTGCTGGACACATCAGTAGGGGGTCATGACATTTGCAATACATATAATTCAAACAGATCAGGAAATTGGGGACGTGGTTAAAGCCTCTGGCTTTCTGCTGGTGTCGCTTTGGGAGAGCATCTCTGGACTTTATACAACTTGCACACTCTGTGATCAGAGGCAATGTGCTGAACGGTGCAGAAGCCGATTGATTGCCCCAACCTGACAAGCCCCGACAGGCAGGTGAGGCACTGTTCCAGCCTCTTCCTCCCCAGGACCCCCCACTGGGCAGGCATGCTTCTTGTTTACTCTGAGAAGCATAAGCTTTGAATGTGCCAAAAACAGGTGGAAATGATGGTATCCGCTGATGATACCTGAACATCCTATCAGTCAATGGATGATAATCACTAGCGTTTTAGAGACACCATCATGCTGTCCACCTTGGTCCTGCACCTCAGATTCTTTCCTCTACCAGGGCCTGGTGCTCCATGATGCTGACAAGGAGTTAACTGATGACATCTTCCTCCTCTAAGTGAGTCATTTTGGACCACAAGATGCTGCATAAGAAATGATATAAAACTATGTCTTTATTGCTAATCTACTCTGCTGGCAATGAGGTTAACATAGCATACTACAGAGATAACTATTATAGGAACAGCCTCCATCATTAGTAACCATTATAGTAGAAATAACAGTAATCTTTAAACTGGAGATACCAGGATGGTGTTCTCTTGTTGGAAAGAAGGAAAGTCATGACAGTTATGAACGGGGTTAGCAACAGGTACAGAAGACAGGCAGCAAGGTACCAGAAGTGACCAACATTAACATGTGAGTTTCTGGGAAGCCAAGAGGATGGGTATTTGGAGGAAAGACCTAGAGAACCAGATGGCAGAGGGTCACGGCAGGGGGGAGGGAGTTATGGCAGTGCCTGTTCACCAGCCAGTACCAAACTACTGCAATCTTTTCATAATTGAAGAGGTTAATGGGGGAGAAACCTATGTCATAATTTCAACAATAAAGATTAAATTATATATATATTCATAATTGGTTAAACTGCTGAGCCAGCTAACTACCTATCCTAGCTGTGATAACTCAACATTCATCATGTTACTTAAATCCAATTAGATGTTTGTTACTAAACACTGTAGTCATTAATTACAATGGGAATATAACAGGGGCATATTCTCACCCATGACTATATAATGTCACCAGGAATGTCAGGAATTTTTCAAGGAGATGTGGGATTAAACATGCATCACGTGGTCATATACTTACAACAGCTGCAAAGATGTATTTCTGGTCTTTTTCTTGTAAAAAGAGCAGCACATCAGTTAGAAGTAGCGCTAGGATATCTTCAAAGAAAAAAGCTTTGTTAGTAACAATGAAGCAAACCACAGTTCAAATGCCCACATTAAATATTTAAAAAAATAAAAAGACTTTGTCTAGTTATGAAACTTTGATAAAAATGCCTGCATTATGATAGCCAACGATATTTTATAGATAACTTAACAGACAAGCTGTATTTAGGTATGCATGTTTATGTGTGTCACTGTAAGTATTGCTAAATCTCCAGCAAATTTAATGTTGTAACTTTTACAAAGGAAGAAAAATATCCAATTAAACAAAAAGTTTTAATAGAATGGAGCAAGCTCTTTCCTTTATGGGAAAAAGGAAGTGCTAATTAAAAATGTTAGAGGGCAGCTTCTGCCTCAAATTATATATTAAAATCTGCTATTTCGTTCCACCTAAATCCTATACTTCCCTTACAAATTGTTCACAAGAACCCATCTTCTCTATACCACTGATAGTTCTGACAGAGCTACCAAACTAATGATTCTGCAAAATGGATCAAGAGCAAATGATTGGACACACAGGATCTATAGACAGTGCTTAATATCTTAGTTTGGTTAATGTTCTAATTGTGGTTAATGTTTAGGTGCCACATGGCAAGTTGCTGATCAACAAATCCCATTCTGGTCATTAGTGGCAACCACCAGCGAAACTTGACAGTCCTCCAATAGGATTAACAACCTCTCGGTGTTTACCTGAGTGCATTAAAAACAAGGAGAGCAGACCAGAGGTTCTTAGCCAGGCTGCGCAGCAGACTCACCTGCAAGCTTTTAAACACCTCTATACTTGAGCTTCACCCCCAGACCAATAAGCTCAGAATTTCTGGGGGGAGATAAGCAGTAGTAAAGTTTTTAAGCTCCAGAGGCGATTCTATCGTGTGGCCAGGGTTGAGAAAGCCTAGATCAGGCAAGATGCTAGCTACAGAATCAGCCCCTAAGAATATGAATAAACTGTTTTAGACTCAGACCAGATTAGTGGAGTCACGTTAATGCTGTTCGTACTGAGGAAGCATCTACAGCAATGTAAACGTGTCTATTTTTTGCAATATGTTAGTCAGTACCGAACGTGACATTCAGAGTTCACCCCTCCCCACCCAGTCCTGAGCTGGTTGTGCAGGTGTACCACCCCACTTTAAATCACATTTGCCAGATTAACATTACTGTGCCAACAATTAGCAGAATTCTCAGTTCCTTTGATTCAAACATCACAAACTTGGACAATCATAAGACATACATAAGGGCTTTTGCTTAGAGCTGCAAACTGCCACTAAAGGTTCGTAGATTGGCCACATTGCCTATGCATGTTCACAACTTGATCCTACAGGAATTTTCCCACTGACCCAGGGTTTGTGCCTACATTTCTGAACGATTTATCTTTTGAAAATCTGCCCTCTGTTACATGAATATCACGTGTGGAAAAAGGGGGAAATCGGTCTGGGAGTGCCACAGTACCTTTGAAACGGCCCGTAGCAGTTTTCCAAAAAACAAGGCCGTCATGTAATAAAGTCCTCTCTTTGCTTATCAGTGCCTGCTTCCTAAACACATCGCCGTTTTTGAGCTTGGTATATGTTTTGTTTTCGATCTTACTTAGGATCTCGAGCCATTTTTGGTTTTTCTCATATTCGCTGACTTTTAAATCCACTGCTGCAATCATGTCTCTTATTAGGCAAAGAGCTTTGCATAAGTCTTTATGTTCTTCTGTGTTTTCTGCGTGGGAAAAAGAAAGAAACGCGATACAATAAGCCAGAGAGCTAAGGGAGACAGTGTTTTCCTTTACTTTTAAATACAGTTAAATGTATCATCCAAGCAGCAAAAGTCTCTGAACAAAAATGTTGGATTAAATTCAAATACCACATTATCACTGTGCACCCTCCTCCCAAAAGAACCGTTAAAATATTTAACTATAAAAGATTTGCGTATCAGATGTGCTTCAGCTGAAACACTGTGAAAATAGGATGTCTGGTTTCTAGAGACTGGTTTGACCTTCCTCCTAGAGCAGGGAATGTCTTATATACAAGGTGGGACAAACGTAGCCACAGTTGTGAGAATGCAAAACACAGTGTTTATTTCTGGATTATGACTTATTATTTTCTATATGAACAAGGTGGGGCAAAAGCATCTACAGTTGTGAGTATGCAAAACACAGCATTTATTCTTGGATTGTTATTTATTCATTATTTTCCATCAGAATAACTGTAAACCTATTTTTGCCCCACTGTGTATACTAAGTTAGGCCTTCCTTTTACCTTCCCACACACAGGTAATCAAGTTATCCCCACACCAAGCTTCTCAGAACTTAACCAAGCCACAGGCCTACGCTGAAATCCTTTCATAACTTAGAGCTTCAAGGTGCCTTGAATGGGCCTTAGACTCAATTGCTTCCTTGGATCCCTTTCTCCATAAAAATAATACTCAAAACTACATTTTACAAGTGCATTAGCAGGAAGATATTTAAATATGTCAATAATATATATTAAACATTTTTTGAACTAAAAAAAACTGGACCATGGCACTGTGCCTAGTGGCTCATGCCAACAGAGTAGATGATCACCGAGTCTAGTTGTTATTCTTTAAAACATTGGCCACCTGATCTTATCTCTGGATTATCTTAAGCAAAGACTCTGTAGGAGTTTCTGGATCAGCTTCCTGAAACTCCAGATAAAACCGAATGTAGCTATTTTCTATATTTGAGGATTTAAAAAACCACCTAGTTGATGTTTATTGAGGCAAAATGAACTGAAGGGGAAAGTTTCAGGAGGTTAGAAGTTTCTAAAAGATGAGAGAAAAAATTGGCAGAGAAAAATCAAAGATTCTCTAGAGCCTAGAGCAGCAGAAATAAACACGAAGAAACAGCAGTCAAGTGGGATGAGAACAAGGACTCCAAAGGGCCTAAATGTTTTGAGTTCTAAATGTGTTAGATACATGAGGATCTGTCAGAAAAGCTCAAGGAAGCGATGCAGACATTCATCTTCAACAAAGAGTCTTTCTCATTGCCTGTAAAAGGACACACCTCACTATTTTACTACGCCTACTGCCCAATAAGCAGCATACACCCTGCCCCCCACCAAAGTTCTTTCTAAAGAGCATATTTCATTGTAGGAAAGTTGAGTAAAGAAAGTCAATCTTGAGTTACAAGAGGTAAGGCCAAGAAAAGGCTCAAAATCTTGACCTTCAGGGACAAATTACTATCTTACAATAGCTTGCTACTCAAAGTCTAGCAGCATCAGACTCACCTGGGAGTATTGTTAGAAATGCATACCTTGGGTTCTATCTCAGGTTAACTGAATCAGAATCGACATGTAAGCAATCCCCAGGTGCAGGGTAACTCCTAATGAAGTTTGAGAAGCATTGCCATAATAGAGTCATGTGAACCATGTTCTCAGCAGCCAGAGAAAGAGAGAGACTGACCATTGGGAAGGTCTGACCCAAGGCGTGTGTGAGGAGCCATATGTCATAATTATCATGGTTGACACACACTAGGGAATCACTATTATTCATTCTCCCAGGAATGTGGCATGGGATGATTGTTGGAGCTGACTTAATGCAATCTGACAAATGTGAGTCTGTGAGGTATTGTATATATGAACATCATACAAACTAAAAGTCTTGATTTTGTCTTCAATCTTTTGCTGAAAACAAAATTTATAAGGTTTTTCTCTGTATATTGTGCTTCTATTTTCTTTTATATTATAAGGATCCATAAAAACGGGACACAAGGAATAGATGCTACTCACCTAGACCCCTACTCACCTAGACTCCTTCCCAAAAAAGAATGTCAGAGTTGACTTTTTTCGAGTTGGCATACAAAATCTCATTGGTCTTACACAGCATCTTAGGACACCATTTTCATATCTCTAAGTCAACTGATCATAACAAAGAGAATAAAAACAGCTCCCACTTATTGGCTCTGCACTGGGCACTTTCTGAGACAATCTCACTTGATCCTCACAATTCCATAAGATGAGGATTATTATTCTCACTTGGCAGTGCAGAAAACGGAAGCCCATTTAATTAACTTGCCCAACTAATGAGCAGCAGAACCAAGTATATGCAATAGCAATGCAAGTTTACATAACTACAAACCCAGCCCATGTTAATACAACACACTAACCCCCAATAATAATACACTCAAAATTGACAAGCTAACATTTGGAGCTGGCAATTTTATTGATTCATTCATTGCACTGCTATGTGTTTGTTTATTGATAGGCTACTCTTGACCAACCACTGCACGAGGCATTGAAGATCCAACTGTGAACCACACAGACACAGGCCTTCTAGATCCCTGCAGGAGCTTACAGTCGAGCCATGTGCATTAATAGCTCCTTAAGGGATACCCAGATGTTACTCTCTGGAACTTAATGAATTAACAAGGTCAAAAATAGCTCCTTCATAAATCATCCTCAATCTAATAATTCATTGTTTAGGAGAGTTGACATTTGTTGCTAGGATCAATCGCATATGTTTCAACAAACAGCAGGAAGGTAGCAGGAAGATGCGGATGAAGAGGTAGTAAGAAGATCTGGATACGGAAAGACTGCAGAAGAGAAAGGCAGGGTCAAAGTTTGGGCTGCTTGGAGGACTTTAGACTATTGGCCAAGCCACATTATAAAAGGTAACTTTTCAAAATAGATCCAAATCCTAAGGCTTTAACAGTTTTTCCATAATGGAAATCTTTATGAATCAGAGGCCACAAGCATTCATAGGTCTTTACAACACCTCAGGCATGTTTCAAAGTAATGAAAGAGGCAAATGTTTGTCCCATAAGTCATCACTCACCCTTTGTGTACTGCAATATCCTCTCCACTAACACGGGGTACTTGGTGATGCGCTGAGTGACTAGCAGGATGCATTCTGGAATTCCTCGGCGTCGAGCCAAAAGATTACTATTTCGGAGCTTATAAAAAGACAGATATATTTTTATATTCACAAACTCTATCCATATTTTCTAAATAGATGTGAATTTAATAATACAGAGAATCTGCAACAGCATACTTCTACTCAGACACAATACAATACACATTAATTGAAAATTGATGCATTGTCATTAACTTGTATACTTTGTCATTAATTTCAATAATCCAGCTCTCCAAGATTTCAAGAAGTTTTAAGTTGCTCTGATGTATTTGTAATTAATTCCAAATGTGAGTAAATTCCAATACATATAAGTGTTAAGATTCATGAACAGCAAAAGTTTTGAAAAATACTCAGAAATCAAAGTTAGAGTTTGAGTATGAGTTTGACATTAACTACATTTTTCCAACAGGGCGTCCTCTTTATGTGTTGTTATTCACCATGGAACTTTAAAGTTCCCTCTAATCAGGGCAACTTTTTCTAAAAATTTCAGAGTATTCTTTAAGTTTTCAAATTCTCAAATACATGCATGTGGGAAGAAAACAAAAGGAAGAGAATCTGATAGAATTTTTTAAATGTTAGATAAAAATTTGGGATCCATGAAATGCTAAAGGACAAATTTCTTTAACAAATAAATTAGATGCAAAAAAAAGGAAAGGGGAATGTTCAAATTTTAAAAAGATTAAAAAGATGTAACCCTCATATATAATTGTGAACCTTGGATAGATCCTGATTTAAGCAATTCAATTTTATGAAATAATCAGGAAATCCAAATATTAGTCAGCTGTTGAAAAATATTAAAGAATTATTGTTCATTTATCTAAGCACGATAATGTCTCTGTAATTTTTTAAAAGATTATATTGTTTAGAGATACATATGAAGTGATGATGAGTCATGGATTTGCTTCAAGCTAATTCAGTGGGAGTGGAAGGATTCTGTCCTTATTTATACTATGATTCTTCTGATGTTTAACTTGTCAGGGCATGAAAGAGCTTCACAGGATATTGCAAAGGTGCTCATAAGCTTGGAGGACATGACTTCACAAATAACAAGCTACAAAAGAAAATGATTTAGAAGAAATATTTTACTAACATAGAAAAAACGACTTGCCATCTTGGCCACAAACTTATTAGTACTTCCTTCTAAAACAGCATCTAGATGTGAAACTTAGTTAGGTTACGTAAGAAATAAACATGAACTACTTTCCCAAACTGGATTACCACTGTATGATAGAGTTTTAAAATACTTGCCTTAATAAAATTCTGAAACTTTTTATTTTGCTGGAGTTCTTTAAATAGGCTGACAGCTTCTTTGTGATGGCTACAGAATTCTCCATATATTTTCTTCATTGTATTTGCATTTTCTTCTGAAAACTGAGAATAACAGTTCAGTAAATGGTTTATAAATTGAGTCAGTTCTGAACACAAAAGGAAAAATGCAATTTTCATATATTTCAATACATTCTTTGCAAATAAAGAATAAAGATCATGATCTCTAGAGCTCAATGCTGATGAGCATATCCTATCTAATAAGGAGTGAATATGCTAATTGACTGCCATGCCCTCAAAGATGGCAGCACCCACAGCCAAAAGATGGCTGGCAGGGGAGGGCAGTTGTGGGTGATCAGGTCTGCAGGGGAAGGCAGTTGGGGGCAACTGGGCCGACGGGGGAGGGCAGTTGGGGGTGATTGGACCAGCAGGGGAGCAGTTAGGTGTCAATCAGGCAGGCAGGAGAGCGGTTGGGAGCCAGCAGTCCCGGTTGTGAGAGGGATGTCCGATCCCACAGGGATCGGGCCTAAACCGGCAGTTGGGACATCCCCCAAGGGGTCCCAGATTGGAGAGGGTGCAGGCTGGGCTGAGGGAGACACACACACACACACACACACACACACACACACACACTCTCCAGTGCACGATTTTTGTGCACCGGGCCTCTAGTCTTAAAATAATTGCCTATTTATTAATCTATAAATAGACAATAATTTTGGAATATTCTGTTTGTTTATTAATGGGCCTGCTTCTTAGCAATATTATAAATGTTTTATAAAAGCAGCTCATGATATTTTATTGGCCTTTTCATGGCATATGAACAAATAAACTATTTCACTATTAAAAAAAGTATAAAATCATGGAACTTCTGAACACAATCACTTCTCTTTTTCAATTAAAATAAAAGAAAGTAGTCAAGAGGTAAAGGGAAGACAGTAATCTAATGGGATTATATTATACTAAACTAATTCAATTACCAAATAGCCAAATAAAAAACATTTGATATAATTTATTCTTTTTGTAGTCTTCGTGATTTCAACTTATAGTTTGAATATTTTTGTAGATTGAAGAAAGGATTATGTGGCAACATTTGGGGACCTCTCACTGGCTGGCATGTACACTGGCTAAGGGACCATGTCCATGGAACTCAGCCCTCAGTCGGGAATTTGATTTCTGTCAGCACATCACAAATAGATCAAGAGGCAGGTAATTAATCATTGGCCAAGATAAAGAAGATGGATAACTAGGGTGCCAATTAATTAACTGATGGAGAGAAGCAGAGATGTGGGATACGTGTTTCAATAAGCTTGACATATAGAACAACCTCTGTTTCCCAGGCATGAACTCTGAGGCTTTCATGGTAGCAGATCTGCCTCCTCCAAAACGAGCCAGTGCTTGCCTTGAAGATGTTGGTAAGACTATCAGAGGCCCACTGGGGAGCCACATTATTGGAAAGCCATCACAATAAGAAGTTTAAATAGAATTTTCATAAAGGGATTTACTTGTGGCTGTGACTCCTGGTGGAGGTAGTGATAGGGCCAGTCCCTGGCTTTATGAAACTTTCAGGCATCAGTCATATAAACTAACATCAAATAAAAGAAAAGCAATCAAAATCATCTGTCAGTCAAAATGAAATTAATTCCAGTTCTCCATCGGTGTTTAATACTGTAGAGAATCTGCAAACCTTTCTGTTTTTGAGATTAGGACCTTTAAACCTCTCTTACCTGTTGGACTAGAATATCTCCAATTCGGTTAATGATGAAATTCCTGTCATTGTCAGCACAGGATTCCTGCCTCCGCTCCTTCATGCTATAGAAGAAATGCCTATGAATTTCAAGTAACTCATCCAAGCAGGGGAAGATTTTATCCACAGTGCTGTGGTCCAGCTGCAGCTCCTCCTTCATCCCTTTCCTGAAGATCTCAGACATGATGAAGAGGGTCTGGATGTGATGCATTTCCGTTTGCATTAGCTCTGAAACATGGGAGCAGAAACAGGCTTTTAAAACAAGAATCCAATTTTGTGGTGACATTTGCTCTAAAATGAATGTTTATTAAAATAACTAAATTATGAACTGAAAAAAAAAAAATGAAAAAAAAATAAAACAAGAATCCCTACGGACCTAAATTAGTAGCTAAACACTATACGTCACACAAATTAAAAAGAGGAAATATTTAAAAATAACCTTTTTCCACTATAAAAGTCAGCATCAATTAAACATTAATGCAAGCTTAAATTAATCAACATTTTCTGTTTTTCCAGATATAAGAAGATAAATTCAAGTCCAATACTTAAGAATCCAATGTATCTGAAACTCTCATAACATAACCAGCTAGCGTCTTTAGGTACCTTTAGCTAGGAGCTGGTCTTACTCTTCCCTGAGTGCTCTCTGAAATATAACTTAGAATGTCTCAGTTTTTCTGTTTTGTTTGGTTTTGTTGTGTGTGTTGTTGTTGTTGTTGTTGTTTGGGGGAGAGGATGGTTGTTTTTTGCATTGAGTAGGAGTGCAATTAATTTGGTGAATTAAATTGAATTAAATATAATAAAGTTCCTGAAAGCAGACAATAATAGACCCTTTCTATTACTAGATTAGTCTCTAAAATTCCACTTTCTTTAGGGGAAAACAATGTATCATGATCAAGGAACATCATCAAGGAAGTAAAAAGATAACCCATAAAATGGGAGAAAATATTTACAAATCATATACCTGGTAAGGGACTTGTGTCCAGAATATATAAATAACTCTCACAACAACAACAATAAACACACTTCAAAAATAGGCAAAATATTTAAATAGATATTTCTTCAAATATATACAAGTGGCCAATAATTACATCATTAGCTATCAAGGAAATGCAAATCAAAACCAAAATGAGATACAACTACACACATACTAGGATAATTGTAAAAAAAAGATGGACAATAAAGAAGTGTTGGTGAGGTGAGGATGTGGCTAAGTAGGAGGGGAAAATGGAGAATGACTACTAATGGGTACAAGTTTTCCTTTTGGAGCCGTGAAAATCCCATGGAATTAGATAGCAGTTGATGGTTGCACAACTTTGTGAATATACTAAAAACCATTAGGTTCACTGTAAAGGGGTGAACTTTATGGTATGTAAATTAAATCTCAACTTTAAAAATGCAACATGAGAGAAAATAGTAATTCACAATTTGTAGAAGCACCAGAAGTCCTAGATTAGTTTCTCCAAACTCACATGTTTTAAGAAAGAATCTAAAATGTCAACAATAAAAATAAATTAATTAAATATTAGCCATGGAGGGTAAACAAATCTAAATGTAGCTTTATTATTTTATCAGCAACAAAAAATCTCTTTAATTGGGAACCCACTAACTTTACATTATTTCCTACCATGTTTCAGTGCTAAACACATAACCATATCATTTCATTTAATCCTTTAGTCTATCTATCATGATCCCAAAGTAGAAATGATTTCCCTCATCTTTAAAAGACAATAAAGAAGAAAGGCGAAGGAATTTTCCCAGAATCCAAGCCTTTCTGACACAAAGGCCTTGCTGTGAACTACCCTACATGATAAATTCATCCAAAATGGGTTAGGTTCTTTTTAATAATATATGAAATCAAGAGGAAAGTGAAGAAAAATTATAGTATAATACAAATTGCATGAGAAATACTGGCAGCATCTTCCTTTCCATAGTAACTCCCACCAATGCAGCTCTGGACAGACTTCAAGCACACTTACATAGCATCTCACCTGGCCTGCATAACCACCCAGGAGAGAAGGGGTCCTCATTTGCCAATGGACTCTTTGGGCCACACTTGCATACAGGCATACCTTGTTTTATTGTGCTTTGCTTTATTGTGCATTTATTACAGATTGAAGGCAAGATCCTCCACCAGCAAAACAATTATGACTCACTTTATTGCGATATTTGCTTTATTGTGGTGGTCTGGCACTGAACCTGAAATATCTCCGAGGTCTGCCTATATACATGGGATCAGTGAAAACTAAGAGCTAGTCTTTATCTTTCAAATAGGGTGTCTTCTTGGAACTACTATTTAGCATCTACTTTGTACTTGAAAATTTTTTAAACCTCATTTTTTCCTAACTAGTGCAAAATTGAACTTCCCCTGACTCAGACTGCCTCCACCTCACATGGCATGAAATAGTAAATGTCAGCAGAGTGTAACTCCATAGGCAGGACCGCATCACACCGTCACACACTGCCCTAATCCAGGTGCTGCCCCTCCCATTGCATCTTACCTGATTGGCAACCTCTGGTGCGTGCGGGAAAATTACAGTGTCATATATATAATAGCCCTGTCCACCCTACATCAACATATGTGAAATTTTCCCATGATTCTTATAATAGCAGGGGTAAATGTACATAGGCCATGCTTAAGTAAACTTGAAAAGGGTATAAGAAATAAAATCTGCTTTGTATCAGGTACACTCAATGCCTCATTTAATCTTCACAACATTTTAAACCTGAGTATCATTATTCCCATTTTACAGATGGAGACCTGAGGTCCGGGTGAATTAAACAATTTGTCAGAAATTAAGTAACTAGAAAATGGTAGCATTTGGCCCTAGCTGGTTTGGCTCAGTGGACAGAGCATTGGACTGCAGACTGGAAGGTCCTGGGTTCGATCCTGGTCAAGGGCACATGCTCGGGTTGCAGGCTCAATCCCCAGTAGGGGGCGAGCAGGAGGCAGCTGATCAATGATACTCTCTCATCATTGATGTTTCTGTCTCTCTCCCCCTCTCCCTTCCTCTCTGAAATCAATAAAAATATATTTAAAAATATATAGAGAGATAAAAATCACATTGAGAAAGTTGCTTTAAAAAAAAAAGAAAATGGTAGAATTTGGATTTGAACTCAGGTCTGAATGGTTTCAAAGTCCAGGTTTTTCCCTCTGTATGACATTGCTTCATCCAAGGAGCATATCTGAAAAGCTTACCAAAAATGACATCCTGTCTTTTGATGACATCCTTCTCCTGCCTGCTGCAAAACGAGGGGTCCACCACAAGACTCCACGACTCGGCTTCAAACTCCTGGGCATCACTGCTGAGGTCACTCCACAGAGAAGAATCCACGACATCTAATGTGGTTTTGGAGAAGTCAAACGTGGAGTAACATGTGAAACACAAACAGACCTTCACCAGTACCCACGTTTATGGATTCATCACACGAAATACTGTGCTATCAACAGAGAAACAACTAAGCCAAAATACTGTTGATATGGAGTTGAGACATCTGAAAACCAAAACTGCGCTCATGAAAGCAAAGAATCATATATTAACACAATGGTTGTGTATATACTAAAAAAAGGGCATTTGAAGATTCTTTTGTTTGTTTGTTTTGTGCCGGGAGCCGGTCCATCCTTGCTGTTTCAAAGGACCCGGCATATATGGCATACCGTTCTTAATATGTTTGCTCACCTTCTTGGCACTATGTGTTTTAACCAAGGTCTCTGAGAAAGGTTGTTTCCCCAGGTAGGGATTTTCCCCTGAAGTTAGGGAGGGAATAAAACCTCTTAACTAGTGCCAGGTGGGTAATTAATCCCTTTAACTACGAACAATCATGCTTAAGCTACATAATCTTTACTCCCTGGAATGGAGATAAGAAACGCCCTAACCTTTGTAATAGAGATTGATAGGATTGAATCAACTGGTATAAATACAGATGTAACAAGACAGCAAGACACAGAACTTAGAATACAGAACTTAGAACACAGAACTTAGAATACAGAACCAGGAGAGACAGAACCTAGGCACAGAACCTACACAGAACGTTCTCTAGAGACAGAAGAACTTCGCTGGAGAGAACATGGCAAAAGATCCTGGACAGAAACTGGCCTCAGAACCTAGAGACAGAACCTAGCAAGAGAACATGGCAAAAGATCCTGGACTGAACCTGACTACAGAAATTGGCAAGAGAACCTGACTAGAACCTGGTGACTGAACCTGGCTGGAGAACCTGGACAGAACCTGGCTGGAGAACCTAGCGAGGGAACATGGCTACAGAACCTGGCTGGAGATCCTAAGCAGAACCTCGCTGGAGATCCAGACCAGAACTTGGCTGGAGATCCTGGCTAGAGATCCTGGCTAGGCTGCTGATCGACTGAACACCGTCTCCGTGCTCTTCCTTCTTCGCCGACTCCGTCCTCACCTATGGGGAACCCCTGGACCCGCTGGGGTTGGACCCCGGCAGTTTTGGCTCGTTCTGTTTTAGTTTTAGTTTTACTTTTGGTAACCTTCAGAGTCCATGCGTGCTTACAGAATCTTGAACACAGAATCTTTTGCCCTGGGCTGTTTTGCACTATTTACTCAAATTTGAATCTTGTTCTTGTCCACTTTATTTTCTCTTTACTTGGCTTGCTGTCCTTAATATAAACATGACACATGGTGTCAGGACTCAAGTCATGTGAGCACAAGAGTTTTCTGACAGAATTTGACAACACACACACACACACCCTTCCAGAAAACAAAGTGCTGTTTGTCCAAATAACACACCTAAAAATGATTCCAGCTCAGAGCAATAAACATGACATGACAATGAATTTAAAGTCTTAAGTTTAAAATAAAAGAAACAGATTCCTGGGGCAGAGTCCACACCTTTCTCTTGTCACGACTCTCCTTTCATTCGGTTTTCTTTCACTTATTGACAGAACTTGGATATGATAAGTAATTCCCCACATTAAGTCCTATACTACAAAATATGCTCTTTAAAAAAATGTTTTTATTTCCCAAGAAGTGGGAGGCAACAGATGGCAATAAATATCCCAGAGTTCCAAGCAAGTCCTTTCTTAACTAATTGAAATATATCTTTTTAATCTATAATCCTATTTCAATTCCATTAATAGCTGTAAAACTTTTTAAAAGAATAACAAACACAATGTATGCCATTCTCATCATTATATTTATGACATATGTCCACTAAAAAATACATCATATTTCCTTGGTCACTCTATGAAAATCTTCTTTGGGTCTAAATTTTCTTTTTTTCCTTTCTTTCTCTCTTTCTTTCTTACTTTCTTTTTCTTTTTTTTAGAAAAACCTATAGCAAAGAGACACCATGAAACAGAAGTCTTTTAAAAAGAACAAAGAATATTTTGTCAATCTTATATCCTTCAGAAAATATTCCTTTGGGCAAATGCTCACAGAAACACCAGTACATGCAAACATCTTTTTCTCACCTTCCATTAAGAAAGAATCCGTGGAGGGGGATGAGCCCATGGACTGTAAGAGCTCATCGGAATGAGACCTGCTTCTCCAGGCGTTCCCGTCACCCTCGGACTCCAAGGATGTGCCTGGCCTCCTGCAGTGGAGGGAGGGAGAAGAGTTAGCCCAACAGCGGCTCTGGGGTGAGAAGATGTAAAACCACACTGACTTACCTGTCCAAGGTGGTGCCGGGAACACTTCTGGACAACGGATGGGCCTGCCCCGTGGTGTCTTTCCTCCCGGCCGGCAATCCGATGGGCATGGAGGAAGAAGGGTGCAAGGAGAGACCAGCCAGGGGGACGTCTCTAAATGAAGAATCTGGAAATCAGAATGGATGCTTCATGTGTTTTCATAGAGGGCAGTAATTACGAGAAGTACAGGTAGTCGCTTAAAAGCCAGAAAGCTGAACACTCAATGGCCGCTTCTAGCATTTCTCATGCTCAGCCTGGAAACCAGTTCCCTCCACATCCCGACACCTGCTTCGAATGTCCCTTCCATGTCACACCCTCCTGACAGCAGGGCTGCAGGCCTGCTCCAGCACATCCACTGGGAGACTGTGGGCGGCTGGGATAACACAAACAAACAAGAAAATGGAACAGGGAAACACACCGGGGCAGCTTTCTCATAAACCACTGCTTGCACTCCCCGGAGCCAGCTTCGAAGAAGCCAACGTGTCATTAGCACTGTGACTAGAGTGCATAGTGTGTGTATAAGCAAGCACACGCGCACACAGAGCCTGTCAATGGATTGGAATGACGCTGGGGAGCCTGTGTCTTTATGGTCTAAGAATTTCAGACAAATAAAAGCCAAGCTGAGCCCATGGACCGTAAAAGCTCATCAGAATGAGACCTGTTTCTCCGGGTCTCACATACTGAAAACTAAATAATGCTTCAGTGCCTTTCGAGTCAGTTCTAAAATGCTGTGGCCATAGGTGCGTTTACATTTGCTGGATACTATCTGTAACTCCGAGAAAATATTTAGTCCTATAATATAGCTGTCACATGCACCTTCTCAAGCAAAAGGGGGATATTACAAGGAATTTGACACATGCATGATTCAATGTTAGTCTTGTGACTCCCAAGTAAAGAGAGGGAATAGATGGTATTTTATTAAATTTAAGATGCTTTTTATTTTCACGCTTAACCTTATGAAAACGAGAAGTACCTTAAGCTCAGGTCAAAGGGACTCCTGGTGTCAGAACAGCCAGTTATTTATGTCACAGTTGTACTGACTACATTAGCTCAACCTTGTGTAACATCACTCCCAATCGCATGTCACCATGAAGATGCATACCTCCTTATCCCCTAATTCAAGGGGTTTTAAAAACACAGGTCACACTTTGTTACAGCCTTGAAATGAAAAGGGACCACAAACTTAAAATGCCAATCACATGGCAAACAATGCCATTTGAGGCAGAAAAAATTACTAATCTCTCACAACAAATCAAAGGATTTCAAACGTAAGAGATGATGGTATGGCTGGTTCTTGCATGCAATGCAAGGAACTGTCAAAGCCTGCAATTATGTTCAGGAGAAATTGTTTAAATTTCATATATAATTCAAGAAAAAATAGAACCACCAAATCTAACAATATGCAAACAAAACTTGGATAGACCTTGACATTTCACAGCCATCCTAGAGGAGCTAAGGAGATTCCAGCCTCAAGTACAATTAAGAAAAACACCAGGTTGTTATGGTAATAGAAAACAGAGAATGATAAGAATCTATAAATTCCAAACTTGAAGATCCCCCCCCCCCCCTTATCTTGTGATTCTTAAGAAGTGTGTGGTGTGTACTGGTGTAGATAAATATGTGCTACTGCTAGGAAAACATAAAATTATGTACATTTAATATAGTGTTTCTTTTTCCCCTAAAACAGTGGTTCTCAACCTTCCTAATGCCGCGACCCTTTAATACAGTTCCTCATGTTGTGGTGACCCCCAATTTCATTGTTACAAATTGAACATAATTAAAGCATAGTGATTAATCACAAAAACAATATGTGATTATATATGTGTTTTCCGATGGTCTTAGGTGACCCCTGTGAAAGGGTCGTGACCCACAGGTTGAGAACCGCTGCCCTAAAAGGTTATTAAATCAGTAGTGCATGTTATGCTAGATCGCATCTTAGAATTGAGGCAAAATCATAATACCTCCTCCATTTAGTCCTCCATAATATAAAAGATCATGACTCCATGCTATACACCTGAAACTAATACAGAATAACATCGAATGTAAACTGTAACTGAAAATTTTTTTTTAATCATACAGTAATGTAGTACAAAGGCTTTTAGGTTGCCATAGAAGTTTACACCATTCTTGATCTCTTTGTATACTAGTAACTAAAAATTATGCCAAGCATTTGTTCTGAAAGAAGAAATAATTGGGCAAATGAGAAAGCAAAAGTTGGGGGTATTTTACATTGGAAAAATGTGGGGAATGTATGAAATTGGAAAAGTTCTAGTTTTCCACATCACTTACTTCCAAGGATGGTCTGTGGTTTGTTCTTGTTATATTTCTCTTGGAATTTCTGGTAAAGAACATCAGAAACACATAAAATAAGATCAAAGCACCAATGAACTACAAGAATGTCCACACAGTACACAGGATAGGATTCTTCTCACATCATTTTCATTATTTCAAAGAGGAATTCAAAGCAAAAGACATTAAAGGCAACAAAGAAAAATGTTATGATAATGAGATGCTAAGTTATAATGAATGTGTGCTTCATGAACATGAGTCTCATGAATATCCCAGCTTTATTAAAAGCCTAGAGCAGTGGTTCTCAACCTTCCTAATGCCGCCACCCTTTAATACAGTTCCTCATGTTGTGGTGACCCCCAACCATAAAGTTATTTTCGTTGCTACTTCATAACTGTAATTTTGCTACTGTTATGAATCGTAATGTAAATATCTGATCTGCAGGATGTATTTTCATTGTTACAAATTGAACATAATTAAAGCATAGTGATTAATCACAAAAACAATATGTAAATATATATGTGTTTTCCGATGGTCTTAGGCGACCCCTGTGAAAAGGTCGTTTGACCCCCAAAGGGGTCGCGACCCACAGGTTGAGAACCACTGGCCTAGAGGAACCAGAAACCGCTAGCTCGCGTGTCCAGACTTGGGCTGAAAGGGGAGTTTCTATCAGCTATGCCTTTCTCCCACTTGTTTCTTTCTATCCTGGCTACTCCTCCTGCCTACAGGACATAACATAACTTTGCACAATGAAACGTTGCCCTCAACTCTGTGGCCTGACACAGCGTGTGATGCAGTTAACATGGAGGTTGTGACTCCAAGTTTCCCTCTAAAAGATCATCGTACTTTCTTACATGCATTCCTGACATGTCTTCAAAGTGGGAAGGAAAGGCATAGAATGACAGGTGCCCATCTACTCAAGCCCACCCCCAAACACAGAGAACACTCTTCTAGTCCCGCGAGCCTCTCAGCATAGTCCCGGGACCAGCAGCATCTCTGGGGAACTTGTTAGAAATGCACATTCTCAGGCCCAACCCAGACTTACTGGGTCAGAAATTCTGGAAGTGGCGCCCAGAAATCTGTGTTTTAACAGGTCCTACAGGTGACTCTGATGATGTTTAATGTGTGAGGATTACTGCTCTAGGCTTCATTTACATATAATCAGCGTTCACTCTGGTAAACCAAGCAGGTTCCAGGAGAAAGGCAGACCCACTCGCACTGCCTAATACTGGTGGCCACACCGCGCTTTCCCTCTCGCTCTGAGAGCACACAGCGAAGGGAATAACCCTACACTTGGAGCATGTGTGACTTTATCGTTGCAGTGATCATTCTAGAAATAAATCTGGACAATAAGATAAGAGTCACAACCTCAACAGATAATATGAAGCAACCGAGCCAGATAGAAACACGCACACGCACAGATGACAGTGGTTACCTTGGGACATGGAGGTGCAGCATCTTTACAACCTTTATGTACATTTGCAGTACAGCCTGTAACAAAGGGAGGAGATAGAAAGGTGTCTGTCTTATTTAAGGTAATCAGAAATGAACAGGACGACATCGTGGTTTTACTGGTCATTATGAAATAGCACATTCACATTAAAAATATTTAGGAATCATAAGGGAAAAAATACTAAATGATGTGGAGCCCCACCACTCAAGCACAGGCACACTGCTAGTTGTTTCATTTCCTTGGAGATACTGTTCTCCTTTTGCAGAGGAACTCATCCATTATGACACCTGGAGTTAACGCATGACATACACTTCTGTGCCTGCCTGAGAACCCGTTTGCTATTATCTGCCTATATTGTAAGCAATTTCTGATATCTGGCTGGTAGCAACTGCCCTCTCCCACACCAGGTAGAATGCCTATGGAAAAGGAAAGAAAAAGTCACACCATCACTGAGAAAAAAATATGTCATCGGCTCCGACAGGAATGCTGACTAACCAGAGGTAGCCAAACTAAAAGAGAAAAGTGAGTGGCCTGCCTGTGTTTTCCTCCAAGAAACAAGGCGGCCTCATCTCCCTGAAAGAAGTAAGGGAACACCTTGCCTGCCCCTTTCTGCCAACGGGCTCAGAGACCCAAGTCGTCCTCACAGAAAACTGCCCCTGTGTGGGGACTGCTTCCTGCCAGGCTGCTGTCTCCCTGCCCTCTCTCCCCTCCCACTCGCCAGGGCCACCCTGTCCCACCCACCCCCATGCCCTGTGTAGATGCAGGAACCTGTGGCTTATCAGAAGCTTCATGAGAAAGAATTATCCCATCCATTCAGGTCCATCAAAGCCACACTGTGCAGGAGGTTGAACCCAACCACCCTCCCACCTGTGGGTCTACAGAGGCATTTCAGCCAACACCTCAGTGGGCAGTAAGCAGGGCCCAGGCTGACCCGCAAGCTGGTCCTGCTGGCAAACATGGAAACCGGAGGCTCTCTCCTCATTCCAGAATAAGCAAATAAAAAAAGTTAAAGAAAAAAAGAAGCGGTGAGCTACCCCAGCACAAAATTATACTGAAAACAAACAGGCAGAGTGAGCCAGAGTATTATTAAATCCAGAAAGAGAGAAAGGTATTTTGAATGTATTCTCCCAAAGAGACATGAAATAGAACCAAACGGCCATGAAGGAGGAAGCTGTGAGGATCGCTGGCAGCAGGAGAGGAAGACGAGCTTTGTGAGATGAGACAGGACTGCGAGGAGGGAGAAGGTCGAGAGCAGAATGTGAACCGGGTGTGAAGAATCAATGCGACAGAAACATCAAAGCAGCACCTTGAAATTAAACTTGAAAGGTTTCCTCCAGAATGTGGAGAAAAAGCAGGGTATAATTATAAAATAGAAGGTGTCATACAAAAAAGACAGATAACAGAGATCACACTTCTCCAAGGAAAAAATCTGAAAAACTAGATCAGAAGCAATAGTCAAAGCGACAACTGACAAAAACTTCTTTTAAAGCTAACAACCCGCTCCTCACAAAAAAAGACAGATCAAAAGCTCTCACTGTTTCCTAGAAAAAAAATAATTAAATGACACCTATTGCATAGAAACATTCTGACGACATCTGTATGATTAAAAATTGCAAAGTCCTCAAGTAGACAAAGGAGGTCACCCACAAAGGAATAAGGTCAAGCAGGCCTCAGATTTTGCTGCTACAATTTTAAATGCTCAGATAGAGTGGACCAGTGTTGACAGAGTATTGGGGTGGAAATGTTTGGCCTAAGAACTTGGCCAGATAAATTGCTTTTTGTGTGTGAAAGAAGCAAAGATACACCCTTAGATATACAAGATTTCAGGAAACAGACCACTCCAATAACCTTCTTAAGAAAGGTATTAAGAGCAGAATCAAAACTAAGAGTTCAGAAATAAATCAGATTTTTTTAAAGGAGCAAAATGAGCACTGGAACCGTCTAAACAAAGAACCGCAGCTAAAAAATTGTTGTAAGTAGAGACACAGAGCTGAATACAAATACCAAATTAGTCTTGAAATAGAAAACTATTTCTGAAAGATTATACACATAATATAAAAACAATAATTTAATGATGAATTAGTATACTAACAGAGGCTAGGGGTAAAAAGGGTAAATAGAAGGGAAATAAAAGAGTATGTAATTATAAGACTTTCATAGCCCAACGTTAGTATTAATAGATAATAAAAGAGCATATCTGCTTGCCAAATCTATGAAAAAGATAAAAGCAAATGGCTAAACCAGACGTCAAGGAAAATAGCATAGAACTATAAAAGATAGCTGATAGCTGTAAACGCAAATTGGAAAAAAAATGCTATAAAACAAGGCCTCTCCGTTACATTACAGAGCACCTATACCCAAAATGAAGACGCACACCCCAAATCAAGACCACAGAGTTAGGTAAGGGAAATACAAAGAAAAGGAAAGCAAGAAGAATGTTAACTTTAAACAAAGTAAAATTTGATGCAAAAGGCATTTAATGGCATTAGAAATTAATTTTATGTTGATGAAAGTGAAATCCGCAATGAAGGTAACATCAAAATGTAAGTAGTGCAATCTATTTATAAACAAGGAAAATCTTATAAAAATACAATTTTCATGAAAAACTAACAACTCAGGCTTTAACCAAAAAAAAAAAATTGCGGACACCAGGATTTTTTAAAATATATTTTTAATGATTTTAGAGAAGAAGGGAGAGGGGGAGAGAGATAGAAACATCAATGATGAGAGAGAATCATTGATCGGCTGCCTCCTGCACATCCCCTATGGGGATGGAGCCTGCAACCCAAGCATATGCACTTGACCAGAATCGAACCTGAGTCCCTTCAGTCTGCAGGCTGACGCTCTATCCACTGAGCCAAATCAGCTAGGGCCACCAGGATTTTCAATATTTACATCATATTTTGTTTCACATCATATTTTTAAGATTAGAAATACTAACTGTCACGATTAAAAACAAAAATACACCAATGCAATAGGATTATTTATCAAAAACAGCAGAGATTGGACATGTCATAGTCTCTTATCCAATGTAAAAAGAAAACCTTAATGTTAATATGAAGTTTAAAACTCTAACACTCCCCTACCCCCAAAACTGTAAATCTTAAAACTTCTAAAAAACTGTGGGTTAAAAAGGAAATCAAGTGTATATTCATACTGATTCTAGAATTTAATCTAAGGCAATAATCAAAGATGTGTACAGTAATATGTGCAACATTATGCTGGGAAAAACTTAAATGTACACTAAGTAAGGAATAACTTAGTACATGTGATAGCATCCTCAAATAAAAGATGAGCATAACAAGTTGACTCTTTTTATTAGAAGGGACTCCATCAAAATATTAGGTAGCAATGTTCTCAAGGTGGTAAATTTGGATAACTCCAAGCTTTTCCTTAAACCTTATATCTTCTATGAATTTTATTACATTAAAAAAATTGACTACTTTAAAAGCTGAACATATCCTATTATGTCCTTTCAGCAATTTCCATCTTCCACTAAGACTTCCATGGCAACTCAGTGTGAACCTACATATTCTATACTACAAAAGTTTACTTTTCACCAAGTCCTGGCTCCCCAACCTGCGTTAATTACTTCTGAGTATCTAACTAGATATTATTAATTATATATTAACTACATATGAGCGTCTAAGGGCCCAGCTTAGTGATGGCTGTTGTAGGGGATACAAAAGAATTGTGTGATTATAGTCCTTAAATAACGTAAAGTCCATTTTAGTAGTTAAAAGCCAAAAGAGGTTGTCCATAACCCAGTATTAAAAAGAATAGAGAAAATAGGTCATAAACGTGATGTGTAAGAATTTAGGCCACAGAAGTCAGGGAAGATTTCCAAAACGAGGTGGGAAATGTGGACTGACATAGAGAAGGGGAAACTGAGAGAAGGGAGATTATAACCATAAGTGAAGGAACAGAGGCAGGAAAACCCACGGGAAGGGAGAAGAGGACAGCAGGCCTGGCTCGGCCCCTGGCTGTACGGCTGAAAGGGGAACTAACCTTGGACTGGCCAGCAGGAGGCAGACCAGGAACCACAGGCATCGGAAGAGGTTGGGCTTAGTCCAGCAAACAAAAACGAGAGAAGTTCTTTTGTGTATGTGGGCTGATGGAAGTGGTGTTGTACAAAGACTGATGTGGTAAGTGTATTCAGAATAAATTGTACGTGAAAATACCTGGAGAGGGAAACGAGTGCAATTTGCTCTCAGCAGTCCCAAAGAGGGTGATGAGGACGTACCTGAGTGGTCCCAGGGAGACAGGAAAGGAAAGAGTGATGGGGGTTTGCGGGGACTGGGGTGAGGCAGGGAGACAAAGGGGAAGAGGAGTCAAGGTGCCCAAGGTCTGAGCTTGTACCATTAGTGCAGCAAGAAGGACGACCTTTCACATGAAACCTCTGGGTGGTGATGGCCACAGCGAGGGTCACCCTGAGCCAGTGTGACTGGGACAGTCTTGGTTTATTATCCCTGTAGCTCTTCCACACTCTCAAAAGTGGCCACAAACTACCTGATTGCTCAGTCTCTCTCGGCAGCTGTAAATATGGAAGTAGAAAGTGAGGGATAAAGACATTAATCTGGGAAGATTAGGCCTAACTATCATATTTTAGAACAAATGATTGCACGACTATTAACACAGAAACAATTGGGGGGGGAGGGGGTGATGAACAAATGCGCAAGAACTGAGTTTGGAGGGCCTCAGGACAAAGGAGACGACACCCGTGGTAAACAGGAGGGAAGCGTGCCATGGAAAAGAGAATGTTTACCTAAATGGAGGGACCATCAACAGGAGCACAGACTCTCAGACCTGACTAGAAAGCGATGCCAAGTTTCCGTCAAAAGCAGGACTTCCGTTAAATACTAAAGACAGAGGCCAAAATGCAGGTGGCTAAGGAAGAAGTGCCAGGGAAAGACATCAGAGTGGTGAGTGCAGATCACCCCCTGGCGGAGTTTACCTTAAAATGAGGGGAGAGAAAGATGGTGATGTGGATGGTGGATCCACCGTTGGGATCGGCCTATGAACAGCGTGGACTGACACCCTAGGAAATGGGTGCCGTCACACCCACTTATAACCGACCGCTGACAGGCAGGCAAGCCAGAAACAATCCGCAGCAATACTTACAGCAAATTTCTAAAAAAATTAGCAACTTCAATCACACCTGCACTGCTTGATGCTATTTCAGATCCCATAAAAGAAAGAAATCAAGTATTTGCCAAGGAAAGCAAAGCTCACGCCCGTGTAGAGCTGGTGTCATCAAACACTGTCAACTGCGCAGAGGAAATGCAAGCTGCCTTTCATGGCGTGTGGGTGGTCTTTTCCTGAGATGTACAACTATCAATGCGGTTTGATTCTTAATGGAATCACTTCCTAGGAATTTAAAGAGAAACGTACAGGGAAACGTTCCCCTGCTCTTCTCTCTCCCTTATGCTCCCATCCCACCCCCATGCGGCCCCCTAACTCTGGCCACCAACAAATATCATAAAATGCATTTCACCTGCCTGGGCCTGAATCCTGTGGCTCTGAATAATTCTTTCACTCCACAAATATTTACTAAGCCGCTGTTCACAAGGCATTGGCTCTGGGCACTGTGGGTGCCATGAACGAAGAGGGTCAGCTTGAAGGTGGGCACGGGGGAGGCAGAACAGAGCTCTGTTTTGGACGTGTAACATTTGAGAAGTTTCTAGACACCCAAGTGGAGACATTAAGTTGGCAGTAATATATGTAGTCTGGGTTCTGGAAGGTTATGGATAAAAAGTACTGACTCGAACCATCGTGGGTCATTCTTGTTAAGTTGTTAAATCGTATGTGCAGCACTAAAGCAAACGTCCATGTGAATATGCTTAGCAATGACCCTGGCCTCAGGGATCTTACTGTCTGGGGAAGCAAAGCATAAAGACACTGGGTACAAGGCCCGAGAACTTACTGGAACACTGAAACGACTCCTTCCCCAGGAGCGTTTTATCACAAACCAAACACTGTAGAACTCCAGAGGAAGTTCCAGGGACAAATTGATGTCGACTCAGCTTCTCTTTGTCTTTGGCATCCTTGCTTTTTGTCTTCAGATAGAGCAGCAGCAGCAGCAGAAAAATGGGGGGAAATGAGAAAAGAGAAATGCTGAGAGCCAACATCTTAGAGAAGTCATACAAAGTCCCTACATTTCTATCAGAATATAAGGACTGTAATCAACAGGTACAATGATGCCAACATGTATTATTACCCAGAATGTAGTTGTCTTAGCATTTCTGATGACTCAGGCCAGTGGTCGGCAAACTGCGGCTCGCGAGCCACATGAGGCTCTTTGGCCCCTTGAGTGTGGCTCTTCCTAAGCCTTAGGAGAACCCTAATTAAGTTAATAACAGTGTACCTACCTATATAGTTTAAGTTTAAAAAATTTGGCTCTCAAAAGAAATTTCAATCGTTGTACTGTTGATATTTGGCTCTGTTGACTAATGGGTTTGCCGACCACTGACTTAGGCAATACTCCATATAAGACATACCGGTCTTCAAGTATGTGTAAAATCTGAGGTAAATGATTTTAAAGGGGGAGGGGAAACTATACTAATTGCTGAGAAACTGAGCCATCTATGTTTCTGCATGATAGGCACCAAACCTTAACTACCTTAGATTTATTCCGAGGGCTAGTCATCCGATTCATGATGAAGCTGAAAGTTCGGCTCACTTTGTACTTTTCAGAATCCGATTTGGCAGGTATGATGTATTTATCCCATTCTTCTTCCGGAATTCTACAAAAAATAATCTGTATTCGTTCATGGCTTATAGGATTTAAAGAGGGTAAAATACAGCATATACTTTTACACATATATATTTATACATGTTTTATACATATATTTACACATATAGATTTGTTCAGTTTTAATTGTTATTCTAAAGATAAAGATAGAAACTATTAAAAATATATCTAATAGATGGGTAGGTAGATAGATAAAGCAACTAGCTCACAGACTAACAACTAACAATTACAGAATATAAGTGGTAGAGGTAGGTATTCAGTATATAATTCTTTCAATTTTTCTGTATACACTTTTTCATAATAAAATACTGGAGAAATAAAGGATAACTCAGACTTGTAATTTTACTCTGAAAATCATCTCTCTGTTTATTATACTAACAGAATTTTCCTCCAACACAGAGAAGCCAAAAATCCAACAATAAAAAACTGTATTTTCTGTATTTTGGGAACATAGAGATAATACTCAGCAGACAGATATTTCCTTTGTCAATACAGCCTGAGAAACAGGCTGTCTGCCTCCTGATTCCGTCTCTCCTACTCAGTCAGGCTATTTGCAACCTGAAACTCTCTAGGTTACAAAGGAGAGAAAACTGTGGATACTCCCCCAAATAAGAGGCAAGCTAGAGGCAACTGTACCCAATCCATGAACACACTGAACATCATTTATTTACCTCTAATCCATATAACCATTCTTTATGAAAAAAATAAGTCCCAGCTATGAAAAATGATATTTCCCCTGGAATCATTTTCTCTGATAGTCTTATATTTCTAATATATAACAGAGAAAGAGAGAATATGTTAAATATCAACCTAAGTATATATCTTGTCAAACCAGATAACACTTTTGTAGACCGAGTATTTCCAAAATAAAGATTTCATATCCAAAGTCTTTCCTACCACCCCCCCCCCGTCCCCCCGTGTCAAACAACAACAACAACAAAAACCCACAAAAAACCTTCTCATTTGTGAAGATTAATGGCTAACACATTCAACTTTGGGAAATACTTTCAAAAGCAATCATATTATTGATATGCACCAAAATATACATGATTACTTTCGTGAAAATAAATTCAATGACAACTTTCTAGGACTTGAGTTTTCTCATCTGATCAATGACAGGCTTAAACTAAATTATTTCTAAGGGCCCTTCTCACACTTACATATAAAATGTATTTACCTGGTACATATTAAACAAAACTTTAAGTTATTTAACCTCTATACTAGATAATGGAGAGTTCAAAGTTATGAATGTGTGTTTTTTTAAAATAAACAAATGGCTTCGGAGCTGCCTCTTGTTCATGCAGATCCAAAGGCATAGTCAGGACAGTGTCCTGCTTTTCAAATCCTGCACAGTAAGTGAAACTGGATTTGCTACTTAGAGAGAATAGTTGAAAAAGCCAGAAGGGAAAGAGGGTGAGTAGAAGTGAATGTATCCTACAACTACTCAGAGTAACAAAAAGGAACTCAGATCCTATTATTTCCTTTCTACTTCACAGCCACTTCTTTAGATAACTGACTGATGAATATAACCTGTAAAATTCCATACCTCTTATGTCTTAAGCATCCTAATTTTCAAAACTCGTGGTATAATATTCAACAGGCTCACTTTGGGAGTGGGAGAAAAACACATTTGAGTCACAAAAGGTGCCACCCAATACCTAAGAGAACAGTAGTAAGCTGAGTAGACTAAATCTCAGAATTAAAGGATGGTGAGATGGTGAGGTCAATGTGGATTTTGAACTCAAGAAGTCCTCTCTTCTACTTCCCAACTTACACAACTAAACTCTCTCAAATAAAAGAAAATATGTACCCAACTATATTCCAAATCACCATGCTACAGAAGAGAATATCAAGAACAACATTTCAGTTTTGATTTAAAAAGTATACATGCACCACAATTTACCATGTATTCTACATACTTCTACAAAATTACGTAAAATTATACCACTTAACTTTTAAGCTCAAAGGCTGATAAGGCCTCAGACATGATCATGTAAACAATAATAATCTATATAACAAGTAAGTACTGTAGTGAAGAACTGAGAAGGGCAAGATCCTCAACTGAATTCACAACAGAATTTAAATAGCTTTCAATTTATAAGAATCTTGGGGGAAATCATTTAAACTCCTTCAACATCCCAGAACAAGAATGCCTAAGCTCTATTATCAATCTGATGCCCAGTGGGATCACCCACAGTAAAGTTCTACAAGCACGATTCTTCAGAGTCTCTTGGTATTGCCTTTTTAATTGGTAAGTAGATATTTAAAATATCTAAAGAACATCTTAATCCTAATTTATTATATTTATAACCTATTTTTGAAATTAAAACTGGGCATCTAAATGTTAAAAAGTTCTCACTATCCAAATTGAAAGTTGACACAATGTGACTTCTTTGAACACTCAACTTCTCAAAAATTTTCTTAATAGAAAGTAACAGATGCAGTAAATTTAAGACAGATGGTGGCAATAAAGTAAGTGAGTCATGCCATACAGCGTTTAAGCTGTTAGGATAGGTAGTGTGTCAGCTCTGCAGAAATGAGCCTGCAAGGTCTGGAGTGAGCTCCCCATTTACCTGGCTGCATTCAGAAATGAAGTGATTAATATACATAGAAATGCCAGTGTAGGAGGAGCCTCAAGTAAATATGTACATCATGAGCAAAGCCAATCACAGGTATGGCCAGGGCTCTTCCTGGCATATCCAACAAAATATCAGGAACAGAACAGGTGAGATAAAATATCTACTCTACTAGATACACCAGGGCAGCGATTTTCAACCAATGTGCCACCGAAATTTCTAAAACATGCAATGCTTGACTATTTAGTCAGAGACACTGACCTCTTTTCCCTTGGACTACCAAATTAAAAAAAAAAAAAAATGACAATAGCCAACAATATAGCCATCCAGTGTGAATGAATCAAAATTTTACCAGATTGGCAAAAAATATATGTTTTTCATGTGCCACAGAATTTAAGGAATCGGTTTGTGTACCAGGAGTTGGAAAAGGTTGAAAATCACTACACTAAGGAATATGACTGAGAAAGTCAGATGCTTTCAGGATGTGGATTAGGGGGCAATAAAGAATAGAAAGAATAAAAAACAGAATGACAGAAAATGTGGAAAAACATTGGTTTTTCTAGCCTTAGATCCCTTCCTCTCCTAATGAAAAATAAATGTTTTATTTAAAAAATCTTGACAATCAGTCCAGTACTTCTTCAATTATGAGAAAGATGGCAGGGGGAAGACTGCTAATCAAAATGACAACAAAGATGATGAACAAATTCCAGAATTAGTAAATTGCTCAAAAGGAGTAATAAAGTAAGCAGCTCCAAACGGCACAAACCACAAAAAACACACACCCAGTAATGGTCAGTTATCTTGCTCCTGCCATCACCACCATCATTGCCATACGGCCTTCCTCACTTCCTGTTCTTAAAGGACATTCTTAGTCTTCCTCTGGTTTTCTCAGCTCAAAGTTTCTATTTTGGTCTCAAAATATAAGAATAAACAAAAGGAGGCTTTTCCTTATTAATACTTTTATTCCAAGACTTCAATCACAACAGTCTACCTTGATCTATATATTAAAAGGTTTCAGAGTTTCGGCATTAATATCACCAAAATTAAAACCATTTTCTCTTTTTCATATGTTCTCTTAATACCAAACATTTCTGCCATTTCTGACATAACCCCAGGCTATTTCACAGTGGGGCTCACGCATGGTTAGTTACTTGAGGCCAACAGAACTCAAAGTCTTGCCTGCTCTCTAGTCAACTTCCAAAACTCCAATTGACAGTTATTTGGGGGAGGAGGAGGAGAGGTGCTTAGGCACAAAGCTTTCAAATCTGCATATCAATTAGAAAACTAATGATGTTTAAAGCACTTTCAACATTATGTGTTCTTTGTTTCAAACTTAACACTCCTACACACTACTCCCTACAGACAGGTAACAGATGTTTCGGCACTTTCTATAACTGACCGCCCAGAACCTGTTGTCATAGTAAATAAAGCTTCTTGTCATAGCGGGCCTACCTAGCCAAATCCTGATGCCTTTCTATTTTCTTTCCTTCAAAAAAAATAATAATAATTTTAGAGAGAGAGAGAGGCAAGGAGGGAGAAAGAAACATAGATTTGTTGTTCCACTCATTTATGCATTCATTGGTTGCTTTTTGTATATGCCCTGACCAAGGATTGAACCTGCAACCTTGGCGTTCAGGATGATGCTCTAACCAAGTAAGTTAGCAGACCAGGGCCCGATGCCTTTCTAAAGCAGATGGTCCTCACACTGCTCCCCGTGGTCCTGTATGCTATGAGTGTTTGGCTTTGACAATAACCCAATAGAATACTCTGTCCCCAGTCTGGAGGCCTGCACATCCGGGGACTGAAAGGAGCAGCTAGTCAGCTATACAGATCACAAAGGAATCCAAGGATTCAGGCAGGCCCATTGCACAGAAACTTCACAAACCATTAAACAAGTATCCAAAATGATGTGCACACATTTCCCAAGGTGGACCGAGCAGTGCCTCCAGAAATTTGGAACAGTTAAAATACCTTTTTTCTTCTGGCGGCTCTGGTAAACTGTACGCTCTTTGCTCTAAAAGACACAGAAAATAAAATGAAAACCAAGGCAGACAAGCTAGCAGTCACATGTTAGTCTGAAATGCACACACCCCACCCTATTCTGTCATTATGTACACCACCAGTTATGAGAAAATACATCACTATATAAGAGGTCATTGCTCCAGGTATCTTTACCACTCTCCTAGTTTGGAGGGAATGGGGAAGAGGCCAAAACATGGCAACAGTTAACAATTCTATGAACAAAGTTAGCATCAGCAAGGGCAGCAAATGTTTTCAGAAGTGCAGAAAACCAGTTCTATCTTTTTTTTATATTTCTCACCAGAGCTTCATCCCTTATTTGTAATGCTAATTTCCCAACATACAGGATCAATAGATGCCTTAGCTATTTTTTTAAGCAAAGCTAAAAAGAAAGTCTTGAAGGCCAGTCTAAGGAAGAGCCCATTTGAATAGATCTGCAATGCCTTTACAAAATCCTAGCAGCAGCCAGTTCAGAGATGCGCCTTGTGGCTCATGGGAAAGGGAAGGCCACCTGTCCCATTGGACTTCTGGGGGGTAGAAGGACAGGCTCATGCAAGCAGCTCAGCGCCATCTGGTTTTCGGAAGGAAGTGGAGTACTTACTACAGGGATGGAGCAGAGCCACTGATTTAGACAGTGAGAGAGACTGATGGAGGGAGCGGCCACTGTGGAGCACACCATCTACAGAGCAGGGACAAATCCTTTACCATTACAATCCAGAAGCTTGAAGAGGCAAAACTAAATTGCAAAGAAGATGGGCCAGGTATGTAAGAAGGAACACTAATAAATACATATCCCTGAAATGTGTAAATATCGATGTTGAACCTTATTCTATCTTGTAGGTAACATAAAATCTTCTTTGAAGAATTTGAAGACTTTATTTTAACGCTATTAAATGTTCCAGAAATTAATTCCTGGGTACAAATCAGTATCTTTATTATAAATAGGCTGAGGTTCAAGAGGTACCAAGAGAATAAAGCTTCTTATCCAAAATAATCGAGCTAATACAGTAACAGAACCAGACTCAGCCAACTGGACAAAGTCTAAAAAGATTCCATCCATCAGTGCACAGTCATTTCCAAAAGTACATTTAGCTCACTCCTCGGATGCCTAAGTGTAGAACACTTTTGTCCATCTTGGTAAGGTTATAATTATCATCACAATATTGACAATGTCCCTTTCTATCTAAACCTATGATGTACCAAAGGGAATTACGTATAGGGTTGGATTTTATGTCTACAAGCATTAAGTGATGAAGTTGCTGCCATTGTACTCTTTTTTTTTTTTAATATATTTTATTGATTTTTTACAGAGAGGAAGGGAGAGAGATAGAGAGCTAGAAACATCGATGAGAAAGAAACATCGATCAGCTGCCTCCTGCACATCTCCCACTGGGGATGTGCCCGCAACCCAGGTACATGCCCTTGACCGGAATCGAACCTGGGACCTTTCAGTCCGCAGGCCGACGCTCTATCCATCGAGCCAAACCGGTTCCGGCCATTGTACTCTTGGCTCAAAAAAACAACAACGATGAGACATGACAATAGTAGCCCTTTGGAAGTGACAAGGAAGAGAGATCACAAATAAAAACAGAAAGGGCAAAAAGGCCATCCTATCTTTATATAACTGTATTATAGCTCATATATGGGAGTTTTCACTGGGGCAAAAGGAGAATCGGAGTCTATTGAAATAGGGAAAATGTTTAGGACTACTCAAAACTCACTGAGAGAAGATTTCTAACACCCACAAATATCAATTTACCCTTGATTAAGCAAACTAAACACTGAAAATTAGAATACATCTTTGAACTGGTCACATTTTCACACCTGTGCTTTGATCACAGTTAAAAGCACTCCTTCTTCCTTAAGAGTTAATTTTTTCTTCATAATCCAATAGTTGTGACTAAGATAAATGGTGTCAATCCAAGCATTTGCCACCATACAGGAGTATCTGTTGGAATCTATACATTTAGTGTGTAGCCTTAATCTAAATTACCTGTTTGTAATTCTCAACTTTTAGAGAATATCAAACTTCATTCAAATAGCCTTGTTTTAAAATATACTGTCTAAAGATAAGCTTTTATTCACAGAAAAACCAAAGGATGTGAGTTTTTATTCTTTCTAATTCAAATGCCAAGAGTTAAAGATTGTATGTTAGGCAGAGATACCCTTCCTTATTCATTAAAGAATTCACGAGGGAGAGCTCTTTCCCCTTATAAACAATAAATTTCCTCTTAGTCATCTGCTCAATAATTTCAAACTTGAAAGGGTCTGACTTGGAAAATCAGGGATATTTCAGATATAAAGACAAGGCCGCCATTTTGCACATTTCATAGAAGACTTAAAGGTGTTTTCCAAATAGCTATGGTATAAAGTGAATTCGTTACCTAGGACTCTGAGTGGAAAGTTATCAAGCTGCCATTAAGAGGACTCCCAACCTAAACTAAAATTAGGTAAAGCTGGAGATCTTAGAAATACTCATGTTATTAAAATAAAATAAAAAAAATCCAGGGCAAATTCAATCCATCTTTTCCTGTCCTCTAAAGAATTGTACCCTTTCTTCTCTTAGTTCTTTTCTCTATCTTCCCATTCCAAAAATTAACATGGACAACATATGAGTAGTCTTGCTTTCTCCTCTTCCAAAAGACTTCCCAGAAAGGGCGACAGCGGTTGGGGGGGGAGGGGGAGTGGGGGGGGGGAGCGTGCAGGGGGCACACCTAGTAACACTTGTTTTGTATTTGAAATATCTTTACTACCATATTTGTTCAACAAATATTTATTGAATATCTTCCATACCTAAGGTTGTGTTTAGGATGGGAGCTCCAAGCACAAAGATTATGCTTACAATACTATTCTACATAGCATAAAATGCAAAATAGCAATGTAATAAAGAATTTTAAAAGGAAAGAAAAGGTGTAAAACAAATCCTATTTTAAATATTCTACACTGAGAAGTTGAGAGTACTTAAGCACATCTCTTGTTTTCGGAATCTTTTAAGATTCTTAAGGATAACCAAAAAAAAGCATTATCTAATACATTGACAAAAATTTTATTATAATGCTATATATTACAGAGTAGCGTGAACACTTCCAAATATGTCTTGAAATGCAATTTTTACATAATATATCATGTACAGAAGTATGAAATAATTACATTTCAAAATCAAGTTGAAAATGGGGACAGTCACTGAGAGGGGCTACCAGGGCAGCTCTGAGTTACCTGTAATTGCTCTATTTCTTTATCTGAATTCACTTTTAAAAGTTCATCAAACTACAGTGGGGCCTTGACTTATGAGTTTAATTCGTTCTGAGACTGAGCTCGTTAAGGAGTTCGTTAAGGAGCTCATTAACTCAAATTATTCTGTCACACTCAATGCAAAAAACCGGGTGAGAGACAGCTGCTATCTCAAAAAACTCGTTAGTTGGAACACTCGTAAGTCAAGGCCCCACTGTATATGCTTATAGTTTACACCCTTTTCTATAGGTATACTATATTTAAATTAAAATGTCATTGCATAAAAGTTACATTTCTGAATGCTTACATTTCCACACAAAACCTTAAGATACATTTACTCATGTTTCAAATATATTCTCTTATTTCATCTCCCTAAAATCCCTTGCTAAATAATGAAAGAAAATCTATTTTGTAATGGTTTGCCTCTGAGGAGTTAGATTATTTCAGCAATTTATATATAGAGGAAGAGTAATTTTTATACTTTACTTAAATAAAATCCTCTAAAGCTCTCACAATAATGAACCTAGAATAAATTATAGTTTACACATTTGAGGACTACATTTTATTCAAAGAATCAACAGAGATATGTGTACAAATTTTTAATTTCATCAAAATCGGATCTTTAACTTCTCTGCTATCTAATGAAAAAAAGACTTTGCTAAACTTAGAAAAATCAATTGTAAAAATAAACTCTTGCCTGCTGCCCTTATATATTTTATGTACTTTTACTAAAACTCTGCCCTGGAATAGAATGCTTTCGAAGACGCGTGGTAAATAATGCTCACCTTCACTTGCATTGCACACTGTAAAATCACGCACCAACCGAGATTTTCCTAAAGAAATTTTGGGTGATGAGCAGGAATAAGAACGTGAGCGGACTCCAGAAAGTAGTGATTCCTAAAAGAGATCATAATAAAGTTTTTTAAAAATGCTACACAAGTCTTGAAAGTATATGTTCACCATGAGTGTTACTAAATCAGCATCTTTGTAAAGGTTTCAACCTGAATATTTCTGTTGTAATCTTTTTTTTCCAATTTAAATTATATATATATATATATATATATATATATATTTCTTTATTGATTAAAGTATTATATATGTGACCTTATCGCCTCATTCCCCCCCACCACCCTCCCACTCATGCCCTCACCCCCCTGGTGTTTGTGACCATTGGTTAGGCTTATATGCATGCATACAAGTCCTTTGGTTGATCTCTCCCCCTTGCCCCCACCCTCCCCTACCTTCCCTCTGAGGTTTGACAATCTGATTGATGCTTCTCTGTCTCTGGATCTGTTTTTATAATCTTATTGTTTCTGTTTGACTCTCATAACTTTTAAATTTTTATTGTCTTTTTGAAGCTTTGGGGAATAGTTCCTATATATACTTTAGGATGCAATTATGACATTCCAATCAAATTAGTTAAAAGTGAAAAATTAAGTCAAAGGACTTTTCTCTGTATATTTAACGAGTTTGACTTTTGTTCACCTGAATTGTCAGTTATTTTTCTTTTACACTGTAGCATTTAATCAAAATTCTATATTAATATTTATCTCTATGCTTCACAAGAGATAAGAAGGTAGCACAGCATAAAATTAGAAGCATTAGAAGGTAGAGGGATAGCCACTTATAATTGGAGGGGTTTAAAAAACTTCCAAATAGCTGTTTAAGTTTATAACGTTACTATAAAAATCTTCCTAGGCTATGCTTACCTTGTAATAGATTTCCACCCAGCACTTCCTGGGATGATGTTTGAATTTCACTTATTTGTGTATCTTTATTCCTTTTAAATGACCTGTCATTTTGTTATCCCAATTACATACAATTTCTGTTACAACATTAATGTATGGAAAATGCAAGATTGCAAGATGATAAAACATGGTTTCTTACATATTCTAGAAAATTTAAATGAATATGCAATAGAACACCACTAAAGCCATCTATGGAACCCAACTCCCATCCACCAGAGAGAGGCCTAGTAGCCTTAGGATCCATCCCACCCATCCATTTGTAAGATGGCACTTGAAATTAGGGCTGAATAAAGTAATGCACAATTTACTACTAAAACTGAGCCATCAGCAACTGTCCTTCCCAAGCACTGGTCTCTTCTGTTCTTCCTAAGTGAAAGCGCATGGTTTCTCTAAGTTCTTCGATATAAAGAGCCTGGGGCAAAGTTGAAAATAGATGTCTGATCCTGCTTCCAGGGGCTTGAGCTGTGGGCCCCCTGGCTGACTTATTAGGGAGAGCCTTCTGGGGTTGAATGTCAGGAAGGCCAGTCCAAGCTTTTCTATAACCCTAACAGTGAGCTCGCCACAGAGGGCCCTCGCCCAACGCCCAAAGTCATAGATGGTTGTCATTTTTTATAATAATGGGACTTGGAGAATTACCCAGACGCCTCAGGTAAAAGGTAACGTAAGGTAATTTCAGAGGCAAGGCTAGCTATACTTTAAAGCAGCAGTCACCAACCTTTCGGACCTCACGGACCACCAGTGGTCCACGGACCACCAGTTGGCGACCGCTGCTTTAAAGGACATATTCTTCTTCAAAGTGGACAACACTGAACTGTTTCACAAAGATGACGTTACTTTTCATCCCAAATAATGATGAGTGTTTCACAATTCCATCCAAAATGCAAAACTAAGAAGGATCTACATCGACAAGCATACTCATTTCTGACTATCCAGAAATATCACATGATCTTTGGATTCAAAAGATTCTGACAGTTCTACAGGCTTCAGAGCTGAAGGAGAGGACTCAGGCCTGGATTTGAGTTCTGACTATTCACCATCGTGGGTAACCAAGACAAGACGTCTCACCGCTGCAGAACCTCGTCTGCTCAACAATTACAATAAACCTCTTATGTCCAAGGGGAGTTGTGATAAAACTAGATGTTGTGCATACATAAAACATGTTTGAATATTGTACACTCTACTACAAACATAACGTGTTATCATAACAGCCATGCGTTCATGGTAAAGAGCTGTTGGGGCAGAGCACACACTATTTTATAGTAGAAAACTCAATTTAAGAAGAAAAAAGTGGATAATAATACAATCAAACAGGAAGAAAGCATATCCAAATACAAAAGGGCTTTCGCTGCAAGACGGGAAGGGTATACAATACAGATGACGTGTTGTAGAATTGTATTCCTGACACCTGTATAATTTAATTAATGCCATCTCAATAAACTCAATTAAAGAAAAGAAAAAGAAATAAAAAACAACCACAACAAAATGAAATCCCATGTGAAAGTGCCAATGAGAGAAGATCTGTCTCCTATGGGAAAACTGACAAAGTTTATGGGATTCCAGATTCGCTCGTGCGGCAGGAATGCTAAGCAAACATCATCTGACTTAGCAACATGATTTACCTCATCCCCTGGGCCAAGCAAAGTTTTATGTGAGCAAAACAAGTTTGATCAGAAACCCACTGAATACTACCAGTTTTTCTCCCTTTGCTTAAGAGATGATAGTAGGAATTATTATGCACAATGGTAAAATATTCCAAGTATGTGACAGGTTGTATGTACTAGTGTTGAACTGATGAAAACAAATAGTCCCTTGTAAGTAAGGACCATACAGATTAGAGTGGGGAGGATGAAAAAGACAGGCTCAATCAGCCAGCGCATGAGGCCTCCAAAAAAAAAAGTTTATACATGTGAATAAAACATCATTTGTCTCTCAGAGATGGATAGATTCAGACAACACATTTTCCCCGCTTAGAATAAGCCACATTAATACCAATCAGACTACCTTTGACTGAAGGTTACTTGATAGAGAAAGTGACTCAGTCCTGGAGATGTTAAAATCTGGTTCAGTGTTGGTCTCAAAAGAGTCTAATTCATCCCCACTGGGAATCCCGGTTCTGGAGGAAGTCTGCGACACGGGCATGTAGCACAGGTGTGCCTGCTCCGCAGGCCCTTCCCCCTCACTGTCCGCATCCAGGGCATCGAGGCTGGAACTGGAGCACAAGGGAAGCAAATAAGTAAAAAACCAAGGAAGCCAACAGAGTTGGTTTCTATTTCTCTAAATTCAAATTCTTCACTGGTATAAAGTATAATGGTTATGCATTTAATTTCTTCTTTTTTTTTCTTACTTTTATTTATTGATTTGAGAGAAAGAAAGAGAATGAGAAACACTGATTTGTTGTTCCACTTAGTTATGCATTCTTGGCTGATTCTTATATCTGTCCTGACCAGGGCCGCAATCCACAACCTTGGCGTATTGGGACAATGCTCCAACCAACTGAGCTACCCGACTAGGGCCAATTTCTAATAAAATTTATATTTAAGTAGTTTTTATTGTTTTTATTCCCCCAAATATCCTCATTTTCAACAACACGTTGCTTCCCCACGTGAACATTTCTACCTAGCTAAAGCCATGTCAGGACTCTAAGAAACAAAAGCTGGTTCAAGTTAGTGTTATCCAATTTCTGTTTTGTAAATGTGATTATGGCAAGCCCCAAACAGTTACCCTTCACATATTAAAAATGCAGACAAAACAGAGCCACTGGGCTGTTTGGGGGGCGGCTCTGGGGATCTGCATGTGAGCATATGCTGAGTGGCGTTCTCTCTGTGTCCCCGGGCCGGAGAGCTCAGGGGGCGGAGGCACCGGGAAGGAGAGATGTGCAAAGGTCTCACCCAGAGTTGCTGTCACGACCCGGGTCAGGCAGGAACCCAGTGAGGTCCCAAATGTGTCATATTAAATTATCATGAAACGTTTAAAAATCATCCCATGAAAATCCATCCCAGAAGCAGACAGTAACTCCGCTCAACTATAAAGCTTTTCTCTCCTCGTGTAACTGTGATAACCATGGAATTTAAAGGAAAGAATGTGACCTTCCACATTCCTGGCTCACTCCTTAACATTCACATTTTAAACCAAACTCTGAGGTCAACAGCTTTTACTGGCATGTTCACTGTACGGTGAATTTTTAAAATTAAATTTATCAGGGTAACATTGGTTAATAACATTATATAAATTTCAGGTGTACAATTTATAAAACAACATCTGTAAACTCCATTGTTTGCTCACACCCAAAGCCTCATCTCCTTCCGCCACCATATATTTGATCCCCTTTACCCTCTTTGTCCTTCCTCCCTTGACCCCCATCCCCTCTGGTAACTACTATTCTGTTGTCTGTATATAAAACAAAAAGCAACAAATGAAAAAACAAACAGTGCATTTTTTAATGTATTTTTCTTTGGTTGTTACAGTTCTGAAGATAAAATTTAAAAACAATATAATGAATCCATCTTGATTATGAAATATAACTAGAAAATAAAACTTTGAATAACTCTTTTGGGTTACTTTTCTTAAAAAAAAAAACATAGGCTATTTAATAGCCACTGAATATCAACTTAATAAATTACATGACGCATGGTCCTATATGTGTCTCTAGTCCAAACACTAAGATCAGTCTCTGGTCCTTGAACTTTTTCATGGACCTTACTGGGCACCGGCAAACCTGCAAGTAACTAAAGGCCAGGCCTGGCACCACTGAGGCTTCTAAAATGGAATTTTCTCCGTAAAGAACACATTGAGACCCTTCACCTTGGCACTGAGAAAGGAAAGATAACTTGGAGGTGGACTTCACACTTTTAATTCAACACTAAAATATGTTGGAGTACATAAAATTATTTATCGCTCTGGCCAGTGCTGCACAGTGGTTAGAGCAGTGGCCCATACATCAAAGGGTCTCAGGTTTGATTCTGGATCAAGGACACGTACCTGGGTTGTGGTTTGCTCCCACCCCTGATCAGGCATGTGCAGGAGGCAATCAATCAATGTATCTCTCTCACATCAATGTTTCTCTCTCTCCCTCCCTTCCATTCTGTGAAAAGCAATGGAAAAAACATATCCCTCGGGTGAGGATTAACAACAACAACAAAAATATGTATTTCTCATAAAAAACTAAAGCTTAGTGTTAAGAAAAACTTCCCAGTAAATGTCAGTGCTCTGAATGTTATAGTGATGTAATTACGGTGCTGTGGTGTGTAGTTTTCTTAATTCAATGATCACCTGAGGGTAGAAAGAGATCTGGGGTGGGGTAGGAGGTCAAAGGTTTGCTGATATCTTGTGCCTCTGAGTTTGTCTTCCAACCTGTGATCTCTATACTAATGAAAATTAGTTCAAATAGTCAGTTGCCTGCAAGAACATCCTATTTTAGTACAAGCCTTTCCAGGTACGTATATACAGCATTTCTCCATCACTATGAATAAATCTTAGACGGATTAGTGAGTATATTTTATTTTGCATACTATACTTGAAAACTGTTCGTTTCCTCTTCATCTAAATTGGGCTACAGTTTTTCTTTGTTAAGTTATTAATCTAAGATATTCAATATTATAGACATTATTTTTCAGAATTACTCTAGGTTCTCATTTTATACCATTTTTCAAAATCCCATTAGTGGGCTATGAAATTGATTCAGTAGGTTGTGACCAGAATTTTCTTTTAAAATAGTATAGAGTAAAAAATATCAGAATACATTCCACATGTTATTTCATAAAACATTTAAACTTTATGTGAATGGGAGGGGGGTCTCATGTTGTGACAAGCATTTCTTACTGTGGAAAACAAGACACAAAAATGGTTTTAAAGATATACTTTAGAACAGAACAAAATTTGTCTTCTATCAACTAATTTTTTGCTGTGAAGTTTGTTAAAATAAGTGTTACACTGCTTATTTCCCCCTTGTAACTTCTTAAAATACCTATTAATTTTAAATAACATAATGGTTACATATTATGCATACAATTTTACTTTCACCAAAATATTGTTTTAAACTTTAGAAAACTTGGGTCCCAGCCAGCTTTGTCCCTGTGTTAACCTCAGTTTTTATTGTATGCCCCCAAATTTCTCCTCCTTGCCTCTCATCCTATGATTCGCTTATTTTTAAAAAGGGGTATAGTTCACTTCAAGTTCATTATCATTTGTATTACACACTCCCACCATGACACCCAGTGAGGGGGGTCCTATGGCCATCCCAGGGTCAAAGTGGGGCTTGCTAGGGATCACAAGTCCTTTCTTCTCATTCCTACATTTTCCAGAGGAGACAGAATGTGCAGGAGACATTGGCCGCAACACTAGCTGGAAGGCTTTTCTCTCAGTACATCTTCCTCTCCTTGTCTGCCACCCTCTCCCACCACCCCCCATCACCTGTGACATTTTTACCGAGGTTTCTAACTGCCTTTATTCAAACTGGGTAATTTTTTCTTATATTTTAAGATGGCAAAATTCTAGCTGCAGCAGCGAGATGTTTGAACGTCCCAGAACAGGTCCATCATCAGAAAATGTTTGCATAAGCAGAACAAGAGACCACGTGCCCCCTTTCCTGCCTCTGTTCCTAAAGAGCTCATTCACTTCTAGAGACTGGATCACAAGCTGGACAGATCCCGAGGGTCCCACGAGAACGCACTGGTAACACACAGCTCAATCTGTGCTTGCAGAACTGTACAGACTCTCGCTTAGACTGGCCGCCTCTTGTCGCAAACAGACATGTGGAGAACCCAAAATGTCCCATCAACTTAATTCATAGCCATGACCACTCGGCATCTTTTAAACTATAATTCCAAAAAAATACGAATCTAAGGAAAATCTTTCATTATTTATGTATCAGACGTTACCCTTGGTACCAACACCTGTTTATAAAGAGTTCCAACCGCAAGTGCTCGTATGTCCGTGTAAAGTACAGCACAGGGGCTGGCACCTGGAGATTGCTGCTTCTCCTCCCTCGCTCTTCTTTCTGGCCAGTTACGTCTCTGCTGAACACGTATCTACCTATGTGGATGCTCATGGGTAGATAAATAATTACAAACACACTCACGTGTGTGTATTCTATATTCAGATTTTGTGTGAAAATGAGCATACAATCAGAGGCCTTGGGCCTGGGGAAGAGAAATAAGCTATTTCCTAAGGAAAGTGAACAGCAGAATAAAATGAAATTAGCAGACATTGGTCTATTTCCTAAAGAAAATAGACAATGAACGGGTGGACAAGAAACAGATGCAAAAATACAAACATACATGTGTACACAGACATGTAAATATATACTATCATATCAAAACTATTGTTTTAATAATACTTTTGCATAAGTAACACTTTTGTATTTCAAATAAATATTTTGAAAATATGTGCAAGGTAACTAAGTTACAGAGCATAAAAATAAAACACCTATGATCCCACCCAACTTGAAACGTGAACATTGGCCATACCATTGAACCCTTTTTATTCCTTTCCATTCTCATTCCCTACTTTCCCCACTGGATGTAATAACTATCTTGAATTTGGGTATTTTTTCCCTCTTTGTTATTGTGTTTGTCTGTTTTTTAATAGCTTAAGCACTATGTATTGGCCCTATAATAATAAATTGTTTGATTTTGTTTGGCTTGCATTTTATAAAAACGACATCTAACTAAAGTACTTTGTCCCTTACTTTTTGTTGAACTTTGTGTTTCTGTGATGCATGTCATGTATGTAGCTGTAGTTCATTTTCCCTACTGGATAGCACTCCTTTGTGTAACTATACTGTAATTTACCTACTCATTCCCCATTTGGGTTATTTTCTGCTCTATAAGTACTCATTCATATGTCTCTTAAAACACAGAAGTAAAACTGCTGGGTCATAAAACGCATATCCAAATTAGTTTCCAAAGTTTTTAGACAATTTTTACTTCTATCAACATAAATGGGAGTTTCCATTATATGCATTTTCATTAAAATATGAAAATATTGCCAAAGTTATGGGTTTCTTCTATTTTGTTTTTTTGCCAGTTTCCTTAACTGTCTTACTTTCAAATCAAGGAATATAGAAACCGAAAAGGGACAACATTTTTATGTAGAGACAAAAATGGTAGGGACAATAAAAAATAAAATAGAATTTTCCAATTTCCGCTATAAGGTTCTTTGATTTTCTACATTTTCCTCTAAAATAGAGTACCTTACCTTCTTTTCTTTAGATGACTTTGTTCCTTTTCAAATCCATGAAGACCAAAAGAAAGATTTAAGTTGGAAGCACATGAACTAGATGGCGATGTGAAGGACTGTTGGGCTTCAGTATTTGATGTCACTTCCTTGTTCTCATGGAGCGGGTGCCTGCCAGGGCTGGTTTCGGTAGAAAGGATATGCTTGCCGCTCTGAGGTGTCAGAGTAGAATCCATGGACTCAGGGCAGGTGTGTGTAGTGACTCCCTCTAGGTTTATATAGTTAATATCCAAATCACCAACCTAGTAGACAAAAGAAAAGTATTCCCTAAGCAAAAGCAGGACAGATAGGCTTAGCTAAGAATAAATTTCTCCCAATTTAAAAACCTTCCACTTTACTTATCTTGTCTTACTTGTTCTTGTTTTGTTTCATACAAGCAGAGAATTCTTTCATGATGTTTTTGTTCACCTGGTTGCTATCCCATAATTCACAAAAGGAAAAATACCAACTGGGCATTTTAAGATTTTGTGAACCACTCAAACTGAGAGGAAATGCTTTAAATACTCAAGAAAAACAGCTGAGGAGCAGGCAGCTTGATTTGAAAAGCAGTTTATAGGAATTTGAGTAAACAAGGTAGAGGGGGTCACATAAAACACTACCAAACAGAAATACAAGTAAAACTACAGAAGGTGCGTGGACTTAGCATAGCTAGAAGATAGAAAATGCCCTGAAGTTCAAATTACATGGAAATAGTGAAATAAGTACAGAATCTCAGCAAGCAACCTGTCGTACCCTTACCATAAACCTTTGCAGAAAGGAACGTCTGCAAAAATCTGCATGGCAGAGAGACCAGGGAGGTGGCCCCTTACAATTATCATGGGACGAGAAAGTCTACAGGTGAAAAAGAGTCCCAGCTGATCAAAGCACCTGCTAAGAAAGGGGCTTAAAGACACAGGCGATCTGAGGCGTCACTCATCAAAAGGCATCACTTCTGGGGGAGAAAACAGTAAAAAGAAAGAGAATGACACTATTTACATATAGAGTGGTGAGGGGGAAATGAAGCAAAAGGGGGAAATTTAGGGTCCTAAACCAACCATCATAATGATAATTTACTAAGGCAAAAACAATCGCGCAATGCTCAAGCTGATGGGTGCAAGTCAAATGAATAACAGGATATTTGCAATGACTCAAACTGTCTCCCACAAGATACTTAATTTTTTTTAAATAATGACTTTATTGAAAATAAATTTGGTAAACCAAAAATAACATCAGTAAAATTATCAATGTCATAAAAGTTTACTAAGGAATTGTCCCAGATTAAAGGAGACTACAAACACATGACAACTCATGCAGTTGACTTTACTTTTGCTACAGAGAACTTTGAGACAACTGGCTAAAATTGAATAAGATTGGTACACTGCTAACAGTACTGTAGAGATGATGGTTCCCTGGTTTTGATAACTGCACATGCATATGTAAGAGAATGCCCACATTTTTAAGAAAATGCACCACAAAAGATTGAGAGATACCATATTTTCAATTTGCTCTCAACTAGTTAAAAAATATTTATATGTCTTAAGCATTTGCATACACACAGCACATACTCAGAGGATAATAAAGTAAAATATTAACATTTGAGGAGTTTTGATAAAGAGGATACAGGGATTCTTTATACTAAATTAAGCAGGCTTGAAATGATGTCCAAATACAAGGCTGTTGTTTTCAAAGTAGTCTATATGACAGAGTAATTTTCAAAGTAGCTTTATCATGTGAATTGCCTCATCAGATAGGTTGGTTACCTTGAGAATTTACAGGAAACAGCATTGCAAACAAGCTAGCAATCTTTTTAGGTTTCTGTGCCATAGTTGAGGGGATGAAGGAAATAGATTAAGATTTTTTTTCTAGATATTGCTAGAAATTGTTTTAAAAATGCAGAATTTGGACTCTCTGTTCTTGTTATTCAAATGGGCATAGGGACAGTGAGATAAATGATATGTTTACTATGCTACACTGACAGAGAACTTTGTGATTTGTATACAGGTTTTTAGTTTCATTTCTGTTTTCACTGCATGCATTTGGCAATCCTCTGCTAGGTTTCAGTTTACCAATTAGCCTGCTTGAGTTCTCTTCAAGTGTATGCTTCACATTACTAGAGCAATACTTCTCTCACTCAAAACAATCCCAAACAATCACATCCTAACTTCATGTTTAGTGTATTTTTAATGTATCTTAGAACAAATAAAGACACAGTTCTCTCCTCCTAATAGCGAGTCATACAATTTTAGTTACTTGAAGTAAGTGAAAATGTTACAGTGTTCACTGAGGCTTAGAACAAACAAAAAAATTAAGAACTCAAGAAGCATTTCATGCAAATGCTTAGGAAATAAGGCAACAGAATAAAAGCAGTAAAATCAGAATGTGGCTAGAGCACACCAAGTCCAGTTAGCCTGTATCTTCAAAGAATGTCCCCAGAACTCCCACTTTGTCCTAAACTCTGTGCTTCATTCTAGATTTCATAAATAGGAACACATTCAGCTGCTTTATACCAAAATGTATACCAGTTTTCATAGCCTGATGTCCATGTCCTGATGTTCATATCTTAGTCAATTTGAATATCATCCCGCCCTATGCATTTATACAATGCATTTGAGGTAATAGTGTTTTATAACACAAAAAGAAAAAAGCAGAGATATATGACTAGGAGATGAAATTGAGATCTAGTAGACAGAAAAAAAATGTTTATATCACAGAAAATATCTATAAGTAATAAGGTATAATATATGCATACTAACAACAAAAAGGGTAAAATACCATATTGCTCAAGGAGCATATATATGGTGCATTTATATGGGAATTAGGCTTTAAAGTTAGTGAATAAAAGAGAAATTATGTTGTCAAAATTACCCTTGAATCCCTTAAATCTACCATAAATTAGAGCATCGGTTCTCAACCTGTGGGTCGCGACCCCTTTGGGGGTCGAACGGCCCTTTCACAGGGATCACCTAAGACCACATATATAATTACACATTGTTTTTGTGATTAATCACTATGCTTTAATTATGTTCAATTTGTAACAATGAAATTGGGGGTCACCACAACATGAGGAACTGTATTAAAGAGTTGCAGCATTAGGAAGGTTGAGAACCACTGAATTAGAGTGTGCAGAAATCTTCTGATCGATAACTATACTGGGGGATGGGGGTGGGGGAAGGGAGATTAAATGAAGGGAAGGGGGACATCCATAATACTTTTAACAATAAAGATAAATTTTTAAAATTAAATTTTTTTAAATCAAGGGTGACTGAGCTTCAGAAAAGAATGAAGGATAAATCCATATGTAGATGCACAAACCACTTGCCTTCACGAGATTTAACTCATAAATCTCTATCAGGGAATGGGCGGGGAGCTCTGAAGGGTTCCAGCTTCCCTGTAACATGACACCATTCTGCTTTAATATTAAAGCTCTACAACCTTATTACATGTTAATAGGTGTGTCGTAAGGATTAAAAAAGTAATTTATATGACAGCATCCTATGGGGCTGGCGTCAAGCTCTTGCTCACCCAGCTCCTGCTGGCTTTGAATACAAATACTGCAAGAGCAAATCACACACACCTTGTTTTCTGACAAGCTGTAGAGAAGAAATTGGCCTCGCAATTGTCATTTCCTATTTTAGCCCCAATAGAAGAGCTCTCACACTCCTCTCTTTGGGCAGTGTCAAGGCCCCTCCCTCGTGGTGCGCCTTGGGTAAGATGTGCTGTGCTGAAGGAAGGACCTCAGTTAAATGCTCACGTGATGGGACTCCACTGTAGCATCACCAGGGCTGCACTTAGGCTAAAGCTCCCAGAGGAACACAGCGATGCTGAATCTATTTCTCACATGCTCGGGCTTAGAAAGAGGGCCGATCCACCTCGGAACATCAGTCCCACCTTACCTGATCTATCGCCATACAGTTAGCATAGACTTCATCGCCACCGTTCAGCATGTCAGAAAGCCCACCGGCAGCGTGGAACGTGGGGGGCTGCTTGGATTTTCTGAGGACATCACAGGAGCGATCTAGAGAAGCGAAAACAGGAGAAGTAAAGTGGAGGAATTTATTTTACAGTCAACCTTTGCCTTCTTAATTCAACTATAAGAAAAAACAATCAAGATTATATTTTTAAAGATGGCACTTTGCTACCTCCACTTATTCAGAACTACCTGCAAGTATGTTATTTTCTACATCCAAACCTTCTCAGTATCTAAAACCATCCTAAAGAATGCATCGTTCTAGATAAGTATGTGCCCATTTCAAGCACTAGTTTTCTAATCATGAGAGATTTTCATAAAGTCAATGAGACTTTTGCTTTCAATTTCTAACAGATTAAACTAAAATTCACTTTATGAATCACTTGGAAGCATCAGTGATTGCACTGTGACCCTCAGGTACCACTGAGGTGTTCAGGCTCCAGACCCTTTACTGAAGGACCCGCGATAGCATGCAGCCTCGCAGTTCTGGCTCTGGACTCCCTGTTGAATATGCATACTCTCTCAGACACAGCTTTGCTTCCATTTCAGTTACAGAAGTGTTTTTGCTTGCTTCTATGTCCTCAGATTTGTTCCAAATAGATGAGGTTGCTCAAAGAGGTTTCCCAGAGAGTTGAGGTGTTACTGTATTTGTAGGGAACAAAAGTTGAAGGCAATAAACCATAGAGAAGCCAGAATGCGTCATTTCTTGTGTCTTTGGCTAAATTGCCTAATCTCCAGATACCTTTATAGGGCTTCCTCATCTGTAAAGTGGATTATTATTATTCTTCCTCATTGTATAGTTATGAGGATTAAATTAGTTCAGACATGTAAAGCACTTAACACATGCCTACGTACTTAGTAAGTGCTCGATAAACATTGTCACTATCATTAGACTTTGTTAGTAGTGGTTTTAACCATGTTCAATGTGAGGTACAAGGCCATTAGTGAGGTACAAGGCCATAATACTAATCATGGTGTGTTATAATAAATTATCAATAGCTGTACATTAATTTAATAGGATAGATTCAAAGTTATATCCATAGCAAATGACGTCCTCACTGACATTCCATTGTTTTTTTGCATGAATACAGAAGGAATCATGTTGCCTGTATTCCGTCAGAAATGGCACTTATTCCATGTCATAGTATATGACATGTCTTGCCTATGTCATAGCATAAAACCCAAGTAAACCCATGGAACTGAATCAGAAAATTTTTTAAAATATTAATAACTGTTGGGCTGATGTACTAGGAATAAAAAAAATCTATTCTTTCATAGAAGGTCCCAGATGAAATTACAGAAGTTATAAAGAGATATGGATTGTATGAGCCAAGTGGCCTTGGCTTCAGATTCTCCACCTAAATCTCTCTCTTCCCCACAGAACACCCAACTGAGATTTTTATTAAGCTCCTTGAGGAAATATACAAATGGAAATGTAAAACATTATCTCCTCATATCTATCATGTCTTCTCTTATCAATTTATTTAAATAGCTAGCAATATAACACACAAAGCCCACAAACACTTCACAAGAATAACCTTTATGATCAATTACTATACATTTTTATTCTAATTACACAAAATAAAAGCATGTTCCAAAGGTTATAAATCAAGAACCTGACAAAACCCTTTCACTGTGTTCTGAGGTAAGAAAATACTTGCTCATTTGTCATTTTACAGCATGTTAGAAAAACAATCATAAATAACTCAACATGGTCCTCTGAAGGGTCATTAATCCAGCTTAACTGCTCTCGTGTCCTAAGTTCACGGACTGTAACACACCTGGCATGTCTGCCATCACACTTGAGAGGCTGGTTATGCCCCTTTTAACCGTTTCCATCACTGCCAAATCAAAACTTCATTGATTATTAGACTAAGGAACTAGCAAGATATTTAATAAAACATCTGCAAGTAATTGACAGATTTAATTTTAAAACAGAGAACCAAATGAAATATTACCCCAAATGGTCTGGTGTCAGTGTATGCACTGCCCACTCATCCAACAGCCATGTTCGGAACTACCAAAATAGTCAGCTCTGTGCTCACAACCGACCCTCACTTCAAGGATGAGCAGGACCAGGAACCACTTCTATTTTCACACACACAGGTAAGAGTCATTTGGATTCAACTTTTCTTCCACAAACAAATCTACCTGGCTCTGTGTGGCAGGTCAGAATCTATAATAATAAGAGCGTAATATGCTAATTAGACCAGGCATCCACCCGGATGAAGGGATGAAGCCAGGGCTGCAAGGGAAGCCCGGGTTCTGGGTGCCTGCCAGTGGCCAGAGGGAAGCCCAGGTCCCGGGTACCAGAGGGAAGCCAGTGCCGGCAGCCGGGGGATGGAAGGCCTACTCTTGCATGAATTTCATGCATTGGGCCTCTAGTCTATAAGGAAATCATACCCAGGCAGTAAAAATAAACTCAAAGGTGGAAGAGTTACTTTGGTTACTTTGACCAAGTTGGAATCTAATTTTGTTTTCTGCATGATTTATTTAATCAATGTTTTGGAAAATGATGTGATTTATTTACAAGACAGGCCCATAACCTCTTATCTGTAATTCTGAAATCCAAAAATCTCTGAAAAATCAAAACTTTTTCCCCCTAAGTTTGGTTTAAAAACAAATGTGGTGGCAAAATCTAACCTGAATCCACACGAGGTCATGTAAAGTCTCTATTTACCCCACTTCGGTGTGAACGGTCATACCTCCTGCTGCAGAATTATTATTGTGCTTGATGATAGCATTGCCCCAGTGTTCCCAATGGGACTCACAGCATACATACTATACACACTATACCAAAAAACATGAACATTCCTAATCAAAAACAAGTCTGGTCCCAAGAGTTTCAAAGAAGAAACTGTGGATCTCCACAAAATCAACCATAGCAGGTATTAGACCAAGATTTTATCCTTGCTCTACCAAGTTCACAATTTTCCATATCTACATCTCATCCTGTATTTTTCTATGCCCTACAACTTGTCTTTAGATTAACTCTCCTGTTACTCTTTAAATAAAACCAATTTTCCAAGAAATTCCTGGCCTTACTATAAATGGGAACTGTGCAAGATATTTAATAAAACATCTGCAAATAATTGACATTTAATTTTAAACCATAGAACCAAGTGAAATATTACCCCAAATGGTCTGGTGCCAGTGTATAATAATAAAATAATAAAAACAAAACAATGAAACTGCATTGTGACTAAACATCTGAGCATCTACAGTGCCTGCTTTTTGTCATAAGGGAGATTCTGCAGGATCAGCAGTGTTAAAGATGCAGTGGCAACAAACCCACTTTCTCCTTGAATGAGCAGGAAGGTCAAAAAAACGTGAAAAAGAAATATCTCCCTTACAATGTGATTCACTGTCATCTAATGTTAGGTTAAGATACCATCTCCAAGTCTGATGGAGCCCAGAAGAATTTACCTTACACTTTGGGAAATCTGCCAGGATAGTGGCATCATCCTGTCCATTAGGTAAGGATTGCACTGAGTCTTGTGGGGGCTTAAGGGAAGGGGGCGCATGACTATATAACAGTAAGGAGGGGAAATCTGTCTCCTCTCTAGATCTGTCGCCCACAACCTGCCATGTAGATTTGCTGAGTTACTCATTGCAACTATTTATAAAATTGTCCCAGAAGACCTTTGCATTGTAACTGTCTGGGGCAGCCGTGGCTCATGCTTGTCAAAGGACACCAACGGGTAATAGGATCTAGAAGTGAACAGACACTGACAAATCAGAAGATGACAGGCTTATAAGACCTCTACTCTTTTATTAACTGCAGCATAATCACTGCAAATAATAGGCTTCCAGCCAGCAGAATAAGATTTATTGTGAAAAAAGTATTTAAAGGTACTTTCAAATAAACATCAGCTACCTATATTAAAGTGGCTCATTACTGCACTATTTCGGCCCATTACAAAGAAAAAGCTACAATGGTTTTGTTTTCTTAAGAAACCTGATCTTTGTAAGATTTTCAAGAGATATGATTTTATTGCTTCCATATGTAACCACTTTAGTAGCAAATTAAATGAAAAATTATTGCCAAAAAAAGTCCTTCAGGTTCTTTTTCAATGAGCCTATAGATGTAATTTGCAGTAAGAATCGGCTCTCTATCTTGAATTAATGCTATTTTTTTCCTGGTGGTGAGGAACACCCGATACAATATATAAATGATATATTACTGACTCATGCACCTGAAATCTTATTCTATTAACCAATGTCACCCCAATAAGTTCAATAAAAATAAAAAATAATTAATGAATGAATGATATTTTGTAAACATTTAACTCAACTCCCATCCACATAGCTGCAACTTTTAAATTGGTGAAGAGCAATGCACTGCAGTAGTTAAGGGCATGGGCCCTGGCCTGCCCAGATTCAACCCCAGCTCAATCACCTATTAGCTGTGTGACCTTGGGCAAATTATTTAACCTTTCTGTACCTCCATTTCCTATTTGTAAAATAGCAATGATAATGTCTATTTATTATCATTGTCATAAGGATTAAATGATTTATACTTTAAATGATTAGAACATAATCTGACACAAAGGAAGCACTAGGCAAATGCTTGCTATTACCATATAAGAAAATGAGGTTGTGTAGTTTTAACACTTTATGTAATTTTAATGCTTTAAAAAATTATTTTAACCATGGTTATAACTTTACATGTTTAGAACGAACCCAAGACAACTGGAATTCACAGAATATTCCATTTGCTACACAAAGAGCTAAAATAATGTTGTAAATGGCTTAGATCGTGTTAAGAAAAGTTCATCCTGAACATGGTAACTGATAAACAAAGTCAAGCTACCCAGTCAGAGTTACCTTGCAACGACTCAAGGGTGAGAGCTCATGAAACAGGAGAGAGTCCAATAGCAGGACAAACAAAATATAAAGTCAAACCATCAGAGACAGCATTTCTCAAGAATAAAGGGAGGATTTCAGAAACTGCCGTGTTCTAACATGACGAAGTGGACTTGGGCCAGGTTCTCGCTGCAAAGCGCCTAGAGGGTAAACAGTAACTCTGAGGGGATCCCCAGCTCGCC